TGTTCTCCCCGATTCTGATCGCTAGTGCTGTCCCTGTTCTTCCCCTATGCTCTCTGTTCTCCCCGATTCTGATCGCTTGCGCCTCTGTGCCACCCGATTCTGATCTGTCCCTGTTCTTCCCCTATGCTGCTCTCTGTTCTCCTCGATTCTATGATTCTGATCGCTTGCGCCTCTGTGCTGCTCTCTGTTCTCCCCGATTCTGATCGCTTTCGCCTCTGTTCACCCCGATTCTGATCGCTTGCGCCTCTGTGCCACCCGATGATTCTGATCGCTTGCGCCTCTGTGCTGCTCTCTGTTCTCCCCGATTCTGATCGCTTTCGCCTCTGTTCACCCCGATTCTGATCGCTTGCGCCTCTGTGCCACCCGATTGTGCTGCTCTCTGTGTGCCACCCGATTGTGCTGCTCTCTGTTCTCCCCGATTCTGATCGCTTGCGCCTCTGTGCCACCCGATTCTGATCGCTTGCGCCTCTGTGCCAGACAATCTCCCCAGTGCTGTCTGATCGCTTGCGCCTCTGTGCCACCCGATTGTGCTGCTCTCTGTTCTCCCCGATTCTGATCGCTTGCGCCTCTGTGCCACCCGATGATTCTGATCGCTTGCTGCTCTCTGTTCTCCCTGATTCTGATCGCTTGCGCCTCTGTGCCACCCGATTCTTTTGATCGCTTGCGCCTCTGTGCCACCCCTGTGCTGCTCTCTGTTCTCCCCGATTCTGATCGCTTGCGCCTCTGTGCCACCCGATTCTTCTGATCGCTTGCGCCTCTGTGCCACCCGATTCTGATTGCTTGCGCCTCTGTGCCAGACAATCTCCCCAGTGCTGTCCCTATTCTTCCCCTGTGCTCTCTGTTCTCCCCAGTGTTGTCCCTGTTCTTCCCTTGTGTTCTCCCCAGTGCTGTCCCTGTTCTTCCCCTGTGCTGCTCTCTGTTCTCCCCGATTCTGATCGCTTGCGCCTCTGTTCTTCCCCTGTGCTGCTCTCTGTTCTCCCCGATTCTGATCGCTTGCGCCTCTGTGCCAGACAATCTCCCCTGTGCTGCTCTCTGTTCTCCCTAGTGCTGTCCTTGTTCTTCCCCTGTGTTGCTCTCTGTTCTCCCTGATTCTGATCGCTTGTCCCTGTTCTTCCCCTGTGCTGCTCTCTGTTCTCCCCGATTCTGATCGCTTGCGCCTCTGTGCCAGTGTTGTCCCTGTTCTTTCCCTGTGCTGCTCTCTGTTCTCCCCGATTCTGATCGCTTGTGCCTCTGTGCCAGTGCTGTCCCTGTTCTCCCCCTGTGCTGCTCTCTATTCTCCCCAGTGCTTATCGCTTGCGCCTCTGTGCCGTTCTCCCCCTGTGCTGCTCTCTGTTCTCCCCGATTCTGATCGCTTGCGCCTCTGTGCCAGTGCTGTCCCTGTTCTCCCCCTGTGCTGCTCTCTGTTCTGCCAGTGATGTCCCTGTTCTCCCCCTGTGCTGCTCTCTGTTCTCCCCGATTCTGATCGCTTGCGCCTCTGTGCTAGTGCTGCTCTCTGTTCTCCCCGGTTCTGATCGCTTGCGCGCACAAGTCATTGGGACGAGCAGGGCCTCTGAAACCACACCCTCAAACCACACCCTCGCCTGAGATCTGCACGGGATAGGCGGGGCGGGTGATTAGTTCTGATCGCTTGCGCGCACAAGTGTCCCTGGTTCTGATCGCTTGCGCCTCTGTGCCAGTGCTGCTCTCTGTTCTCCCCGGTTCTGATCGCTTGCACGCACAAGTCATTGGGACGAGCAGGGCCTTCGAAACCACACCCTCAAACCACACCCTTGCCTGAGATCTGCACGGGATAGGCGGGTGATCAGTTCTGATCGCTTGCGCGCACAAGTCATTGGGACGAGCAGGGCCTCCGAAACCACACCCTCGCCACCCTCGCCTGAGATCTGCACGGGATAGGCGGGTGATCAGGTTTTTCATTGGGATGAGCAGGGCCTCCAAAACCACACCCTCGCCTGAGATCTCCTACACGAACAATCTCCATTGCTGGTTAACCATCTCTCTGTGCCTGTGCTGCTCTCTGTTCTCCCCGGTTCTGATCGCTTGCGCGCACAAGTCATTGGGACGAGCAGGGCCTCCGAAACCACACCCTCAAACCACACCCTCGCCTGAGATCTGCACGGGATAGGCGGGTGATCAGGTTTTTCATTGGGACAAGCAGGGCCTCCGAGACCACACCCTCGCCTGAGATCTGCACGGGATAGGCGGGTGATCAGGTTTTTGGGGAGTGCTTTCGCATGACTGCTCTCTTCTCCGTCTTTGTCGTCGTTCGGTTCCATCTGCATCGCGCAATGTCTACTGGTGGCGGTTCTGATCGCTTGCGCGCACAAGTCATTGGGACGAGCAAGGCCTTCGAAACCACACCCTCGCCTGAGATCTGCACGGGATAGGCGGGTGATCAGGTTTTTGGGGAGTGCTTTCGCATGACTGCTCTCTTCTCCGTCTTTGTCGTCGTTCGGTTCCATCTGCATCGCGCAATGTCTACTGGTGGCGGTTCTGATCGCTTGCGCGCACAAGTCATTGGGACGAGCAAGGCCTTCGAAACCACACCCTCGCCTGAGATCTGCACGGGATAGGCGGGTGATCAGGTTATTGGGGAGTGCTTTCGCACGACTGCTCTCTTCTCCGTCTTCGTCGTCGTTCGGTTCCATCTGCATCGTGCAATGTCTACTGGTGGTGGTGATTCCGGAGACTGATCTCTTCTCCGTCTTCGTCGTCGTTCGGTTCCATCTGCATCGCGCAATGTCTACTGGTGGTGGTGCTTCCGGAGCGGCAGGAGGTGGTGCGCCAGGAACTGGAGGCGCACCAATCGACAACACCAACGGAGGCAATTCTGCCTCACAATCCAGCGGAGAGACTTTCACAGGGTATAACATCCTTCTGCTACCTTTCATTTTGTTAAATCTGTCAGTCGCAATGTTATTGCGTTGTCTCATTGATGATGCTTATTTTACCTTAAGCATGTCCATAACCATGGTTATGTTTAGTTTTATCACTAGATCATTTCACACTGTGTATGCCATGTTTATTGTCTTAATATTTTGGAATAAAAAATACCAATTTATGACCATATTTTCAACAATAGCTATAGTTTAAACCTTGTAAAGAACTGCATTTGTAATTATTGGAACTATAATTCATCAACGAGCATAGACGGATCCAACATGAGTATCAGCCTATCAGGGGCTCGAGGCCTTGCTGGATCCGCATGAAGCGCATGAAGAGATGGGGAGGGGGGAAGAGGTAGAGAAAAAAAGAGAGGTTGAGACTTGAGAAATGATGCTAAAATCTCAGAAATAATTATCCTACATTCAAATTATGCAGCAACCCTACATCCAAATGTCCCACGGTTTAGCCACGATAAATCATTACTCATTTCGGTCTCACAACACAGCCAAAAGCCTTGCAAATGGAAATAAAAAGGAATCCTTAATTATATTATGAATTATAGCACGGAAAATAAAAAAACTTGAGTTTGTATTAGGAGTTAAGCTTGTAATTAAGGGGCAATGTGGAACCTATGAATTTTTAGGAACGATCTTAATTTCCAAAACAATTGTTATATGTTAGATATTATTCTAAAGCGAAATTGTATTTACTATATTGTTCTTGTGTCTGTTTTCGAAAAAAAGGTATATTTTTCCCTTATAGAATGTATTAACCCTCAAAATATTCAATCAATTTGCATCGTTATAATCCGGACCCTCCAAGGTCAACATGACAACATGTAGTTGTTCTTGCTCTAATAATGTGCACAAAGTTTTGGACCTTCAGTGTGGGTACTTTTTTTTTCACTTTGTTGGGATAACCATAGATAGATATGATCCATCATCAATCCAAGAATTTGCTAAAATTTTTGGGTAAAATACAATTTTGGACGAATGGAAAAAAATATTCGGCTACCTTCAGAACATAAGATTTTTTTAAATTAGATTATAAAGAAACCAAACTTCTTCGTGTAATTTGTAAGATAACGCCATATTCGCACTTTTATCAAATTCAAACACTAAATTCCTATACGCCAATATCAAAATTGAAATCTTAAAACTTAGGGCACGTTCTTTTCAGCTTTTGATTTTGGCTTTTTAGCTGCACGCAAAATAAAAAAAACATAATTAGCATATGATTAACTGAGTGTTAATTATTAAAAACTAAAAAAACGATTTATTTAAATTTTAAAGCAAAATTTCTCACAAAATACAATGTTTAGAAGTTTAAAAAACATGTTAACGAAATATGAGAAATAGCTAAGCTCAATTAGCCTTTTTAGAATGTGTTCTTAATTTTGAACTTGATTTTTTTTTTCATCATAGTCTCTTTTTAACCGTTGATGTTTAAGTATCGAAAAACACGTGTTTTTAACCATAGATTATTCTCTTATTGCTAATATAATGTGCCTACACTGTTTGGGCGTATGATTAGCAAATTACCGTCTGATAGCAGACTATTTTCTTCGTCGCGAAAAAACCAAACTAGCTCGATGGGGGAAAACTTTTAGGTTTAGTTGTTAGATCAGATATATACATATATTTAAATATTAAATATGGCCTAATAATAAAAACAAATTACAGATTCCATGAGGAAATTGCGAGACAAATTTATAGCAAATATTTACTGTAGCACTACATTGTCAAATCATGACACAATTAGACTTAAAAGATTTATCTCGCAATTTACACGTAATATGCGTAATCGATTTTTTTTTCTACATTTAATACTCTATGTATATGTTTAAATATTTAATATGATAGCGTAAAAATTTTTATTTTGGGAAATAAACATGACCTAGCATTGCATGCTATATATTATAGTATCACGGGAATCTTAGTGTCACGTTAGTCTAGGTTTTTTTTTTTTTATGGAGGGAGAAATGTCAATTAACAGTAACCGTCAGTCAAATCACGAGTTCCCAAAGTCCTTGTGCCGCCTGCAGCAGCGAGTGCCGTGGACGCCGCCCCCTCCTCCCCTTCTTCCTGTGGCGCACATCAAATCCTCCCCAATAAACCAACCAACCCTCCACCCCCCCCAAAAAAAAATAAAAATGTAACAAGCGCCCCCGGCGCCCGCCGTCGACGACGCGCACGCCCCCGCGTCCGCACACACACCCGCACCCCAGCTCTCCGCGCTCCGCCATGGCGGCCACCGCCGCCGCCGCCGGCCCCGCCTCCCCGGCGGTCTCCTTCTCCCTCCCCTCCCCTCCCCTCCCGCGCCGCGCGGACTGCCGCCGCGGGCGCGGGCACGGGCACCGGCCCCGCCGCGGCCCGCCCCTCCTCCGCGCCGCCTCCACCGCCGCGCCACCCTCCTCCTCCCCGTCGTCCCAGTCTCCGGGGAGCCTCTCCATCCAGCTCTCCCCGCGCGCCTCCCCGCCCGCCGCGCCTACCCACGTGGCGTCGCTCGCCCGGGACCGCGCCGAGGACCTGCAGGCGGAGTCCCGCGCCATGACCCGCGCCGCGGCCGCCACCGTCTTCAGCCCCGAGCTGCTCTCCTCCCGCTACGGCTCCCGCCCCGTCAAGGCAAATCCCCCGATACTGACTGCTCCCCTATGTGCTCGACGACTGTTTGGCACTCGAATTCTGACAATTCTGGCTGCTGTTTGCTTCACCAGGTGGCGCTGCGAGCGGCGGAGGTGGTGTCCAAGATCGGCGCGTTTGGGCTGAAGGTGTTCCTGGACGAGCAGAGGGGGCAGTCGTCGTCGGCGGTGCGGCGCGCGAGGGCGGTGGAGCTGCGGACCATACTCACCAGGCTCGGCCCGACGTTCGTCAAGATTGGGCAGGGGCTGTCCACGCGGCCCGACCTCTGCCCACCCGAGTACCTCGAGGAGCTCTCCGAGCTGCAGGTGGCCGATCTTGCTTGCCCTTCTCTCGTTCGAAGCATACTCGTCTGATTCAAACTTAGTAGTAAGGCATTCAATTCTATTCCAGCATTTGGCCAATGTGGCATGCTCATGTTCAAAGATGGAGTGTCCCTGCAATTTCTTGCCTGTTTAGTGGACAGTAATTCGTTCAAGAACGTTTCACCTATAGATTCTTGCCACTAGTAGTGTAGTGCTTATTGTTTTGAAGTAAATGACGTCAGCTTGAGCTTACCATTTAAGATGTGTCCTGATAACTGGGGGATAGCTTCCATTTTTGGTTTATGTTATATCTCCAATTGGTTTACATGTAAACTGTCTTGCAGGATTCGCTTCCCACGTTTCCGGATGAAGAGGCATTTGCATGTATCGAGAGGGAGCTTGGCTTTCCTCTTGATTCAATCTACTCAACAATATCACCTTCCCCAATTGCTGCTGCAAGTTTAGGTCAAGTTTATAAGGCACGGTTAAAATACTCTGGGCAACTGGTAGCTGTCAAGGTGCAAAGGCCTGGTATTGAGGATATTATAGGGCTTGATTTTTATCTACTGAGGGGCCTTGGATATCTAATAAATAAATATGTCGACTTTATATCCAGTGATGTTGTTGCTCTCATGGATGAATTTGCTCGAAGAGTTTACCAAGAGCTTAATTATGTCCAGGTACAATTTTATTGTTCTTTTGAACCTTTTTGCACATAATCTGATCAATATCTGCAGTATACATGTATGCCACTACTTTTCCTACTGATGGATGTTACACTGTACCTGTGAATAACAGGGTTTGTACTTTCAGCATGAGTTCTATGGGGCATTGAAATTCCGAAATTTCGTAACATTTTTTTTGAACGAATCGGCACTTAGAGTGCGCCAATTTCATTGAATAAAGCAGGAGGAAAACTGTACAAAAGGGAAAATTAAGGTAAAATCTGTGCCAGGCGTTTAGCTTCTGCTAGGACCCAAGTCTGGAACACTCTCTGGTTCCTCTCTTTCCATATTTCCCAAGTCATTAGAAGTAGTTGGGTGTGAACTCCCTTCCTAGGCGTACCAGCGCATGTTGCTAGCGCTGTCCACCAAGAATGGATTGAAGTAGCGGGGTACCATTTCGTAACATTTTAAATTCAAACAAGAAAGATATCAAACTTACATTGCAAACTCTTCCAGTGAATGCTTCACTGAATTAGCTTACACGCTCAGTTGCTTAATCTGTAGAATTTTTGTTTTTTTGAACGGGATAGCTGGAGAGCTGCTTATTTTAATTAAGAGGAAAGGAAATAATATAAAGTTTTTACAGAGGTGTTGTACAAAGTACCAGAGCTTTGTAGAATTATTTCCTGTTGGTTCATCTACTTGATGGTAGTGAAAACTTTGAATGCAGGAAGGCCAAAATGCAAGAAGGTTTAAGAAGTTATATGCTGACAAGCAAGATGTGCTGGTCCCTGATATATTTTGGGACTACACAAGTGCAAAGGTTCTGACAATGGAGTGGATTGAGGGTGTAAAGTTAAACCAGCAAGCAGCTATTGAAAAACAAGGTTTGAAGGTTCTGGATTTGGTGAACATTGGTATTCAGTGCAGCTTAAGGCAACTATTGGAGTACGGTTACTTTCATGCTGATCCTCATCCTGGTAACATATTGGCAACACCTGAAGGGAAGCTTGCCTTTCTTGATTTTGGTATGATGAGTGAGACCCCAGAGGATGCAAGAGTAGCCATCATAGGCCATGTTGTTCACATGGTCAATAGGGACTATGAAGCGATGGCTCGTGATTATTATGCTCTCGATTTTTTGGAACCTGATGTAGATGTCTCCCCAATTGTCCCTGCTCTTAAGAGTTTCTTTGATGATGCTCTGAACTCAACAGTAAGTGAGCTAAACTTCAAAACCATAGTTGATGGCTTAGGCGCTGTTCTCTACCAGTACCCATTTAATGGTATGTTTTCCTGTTGTCAGATGCTAGTTCTCACTTGTATGCTAATTCTGCTCATGTAATGATACAACTTGTCTATTTATTCTTAACTAGTACCGGCATACTACGCATTGATACTGCGATCGCTCACTGTACTGGAAGGTTTAGCACTCTATGCTGATCCCAATTTTAAGGTGCTCGCTGCCTCGTACCCTTACTTTGCGAAAAGGCTACTCACTGATCCCAATCCATATCTCAGAGATGCTTTAATTGAGCTACTATTCAAGGATGGAAAATTCAGGCAAGTTTATGTCCTCATGAAGTAGTTAATGAGGAGTTTTGACTACTCTTGTCAGTAATTGCATCTTGTACTGATTATTCTACTGCTATTTAACCCTAGTATTGCTTCTATACAGATGGAATAGGCTTGAAAATCTTCTTGTTCAAGGGAGCCAAGATAGAGAGTTTGCAGCAAAAGATGCTTTGCAACCAGTTCTAAAGCTTCTACTTGGTCCTGATGGGGAGGAATTGCGAGTCCTAGTTGTGAAAGAAGCGGTTCGTGTCACAGAAGCCATCACTTTTGGAACGCTGATTGATTCGTATAATGCAGCTCCAGAATTTCTTAAACCATTAATATCCAGTGGTAATCCAGCCGGACCGTTCAAGATAAGCGACACTGAAAGGGAACAAATGATTGAGCTGCGGGACAGGGTTTTCAGAATATGGGGCCTTCTGAGATCCTCGGATGGCTTTGACCCAACCATCTTGCAACCAATTGTGCAGGTATACTTCAGCTTCATTTCTCAGTACGTGTGAATGTGTGATTCAACCTCTATGAAGAAATATTTTAGCTGATACCATGGAGCAATTTTGATATTCATTCAGGTGCTACAAGAGCCAGAGGCCCGCGTTCTTGGCTCCCGGGTTGCAGGAGGTGTTACGCAGCGCCTCGCGGCCCGCCTGTTGCAGCAGCTGCTGAGAACTCCACCTGCTCCAGGATCTCCTTAGCAGATAAGACATGTAAATTCACACGGTACTTTCCACAGGAAAGAGAAAAGGAAATGTAATTCGGAAATCAAGTATAAAGTTGATTTCTTCATTCATGCCGGATAAAAAGATCCCCTAGATGTTTGTAGATTGTTCTCAAAGCCTGAAAAATTTTGGGTCTACGAAAATCAGGAACTCTTCTCCACTTGAAGCCACTAGGGTTTGCCAAACCGAGTTGGGAACCCACTCACTTCTTTTTCCGCGCGCACGCTTTTCAAACGGTTAAGCGGTGTATTTTTTGAAAAAAAATTCTATATGAAAGTTGCTTAAAAAATTATATTGATCTATTTTTCAAAAAAATAGCTAATACTTAATTAATTATGTGTTAATAGGCCGCTCCGTTTTTTGTGTAGGAGGGACAAGTTCTCAGCAATAGAAGATTAATAGTAAACCACTTCAATGGTATGTCTACATGGGTATCTATAGCTCTCTAATCCATTTTCTCGTTTTTCTCATTAGACTATCTCCAGGTTAGTAGATAGCTTTGCTCTCTTTCTCTTCATTTAATCTCTTCCAAGTAGGAAAATATGCTGACATGGATCTTTTGTAGAGAGGCTATAAATAACCGGGTGCCCTAAACGTGTTTCTCACTCTCCTGCATAGAATCAACGTGATTCTTTCTCTGCTGCACTGCTGTCCATTCACTAAAAGAGCTGCAGCTTGTGTACAGGTGTTTAGTAGAAGAGTAAATTTCAGAAAACTGCAACTTAATACAGTTTTTTTGAAATTTGCTCTTAGTAGTATTTCGTGTTATCGCATTTGTATGCATTTACAGGTACATGCCTCAGATTAGCTAACGCCCTTCTATGATGAGGAAAGGTAATTTTCGGCCTCTGAATCTACAGAAAAACAGCGATTAATCTCTCAAAAGAAGAGTATGTAAACGACAGCACGTTCCAACTTCCAAGCTCATTTCTGACGCAAGCTCTGAGCAAAATAAGAACCGGCGAAAGCAACATTGTTGGGCTGGTCGCCCATCGTTTCTGAACACCTCGCGATACAACTGCACGAGGCACACCAGTTTTCTCTTCCGTCTTTCCGACGGCGCCTCCATACTCCATAGGCTGCTGCCTGCTGCTGATCTGAATTCTGTCTGATGCACCGCACCCACCCTCCCGCAGCGGCATTATCTGAATCTGAGTAGTCAAGCTGCTCAACTGAAAAGTGGAAGCAGCCAAAGCAGGATAAGATTTCTGAGAGCAAGTTTAATAGTGTAGTCCACTACAGGCTCCAAATCATTTATAACCAATGTAATAGTCAATTCATACAATAGTTGTTTACTATACCATTAATATTTGGTCCCACCTGTCATACACACGTTATGTCTTGGAGTCCGTGTTGCAGCTGGCTACAGATCTGTAGCCCGCTGCTCTTCTCTCTCTTCTTTTATCTCTTTAAAATATGTTTATAGCTGGCTTAGGCCTCCTTTAATGGTTGAGCTAGTGCACTAGCTCATGCTTGTCCACCTCATACAAGAGATAGCAAAAAGTCTACCTCTCCAATAGATTATCTCATAGCATATTGTTTAAAATGCTTTGGGTTTCACAATTCCTCTCACATTTTCTTTAGGAGCTTAGCTCTTGAAGAAGATATAGTGCATTCTCTCTCCTTATCTTCTCTCTCTTCCACATCATATAAAAGCTGATATGGAGATTTATAAGCTAGCTGACTCATCCTTGTTGGAGGAGCCCTTATAGCCTGCTATTGTACCTGCTATGATTAATACTAGTACTGTCACTTACCTCTCCGTTAAAAGGGACAGATATAGGTTGGTATTTTTTTTCTTGACGGAGGAAGTACTCGAATCTCAAATCTCAGTTAGGCCCGGGTAATTCTGCTATAGAAAAGAAACAATTAACAAAATGCTGAGATGAATGAATGTTCAGGCGAAAATTAATCCACAATGTTCTCGCAAAAGAAATATAATTAATTCACAATGTAATAGGACGGACACGTCATGACAGAAGAAGCATCTGTTGAAGCGTTCACGAGACAGATGCCGCATAAACAAGTGAGACATGCCACCCACGCGTCCATCTAATCTAATCTAACCACCCTGCACGAATCGCGACGCACCCCCCTGCGAAGCATTCCGTTCCAAGCGGGCAAGCGCTATATATCGCCGCGGCGTCATCTCGACAAGGCACCTGCCACTCGCCCACTCCTCCTCCTCCCCCATCCTCCAGTGCTACGGTGTCACGCAGCCATGGCGCTCCGCACGCTGGCCTCGAGGAAAACCCTAGCCGCCGCGGCGCTGCCGCTGGCTGCGGCGGCGGCGGCGAGGGGTGTGACGACCGTCGCGCTCCCGGACCTCCCCTACGACTACGGCGCGCTGGAGCCGGCCATCTCCGGGGAGATCATGCGCCTGCACCACCAGAAGCACCACGCCACCTACGTCGCCAACTACAACAAGGCCCTCGAGCAGCTCGACGCCGCCGTCGCCAAGGGCGACGCCCCCGCCATCGTGCACCTCCAGAGCGCCATCAAGTTCAACGGCGGAGGTGAGGCCAAGTCCCGCCCCCCTTACCCCTTCCTCGCATACGGCTTTCTTTCTTTCTTTTTCTTCGTCCTGTTCATCGCGGGCGATGCGGGCGGCGGGGGATCTGAGGAATTGGGTGGGGTATTTGTGTGCTATTGTGGCTGATCTGGATTGGTCTGGACGGGAGAGGCAGTGTGCTCCCCCAAATGGAGAATCGGATTGGGTTGGGGGTTTTAGGATCCTCCCATTTCTAGGGGTTTAGGTGGTTCTGGTTTTATTATCGGCCGCGAATTTAGGTTTAATACTGTGTTGTAGTGGTCTGGTACATACACTATTTTTTAAAACAGTTGAGACATGTGTTAACTGCGTGGGTGTTTTGAGTATAAAATTTGAACAATTTTGGTGCTTGTTATCCACAGTTAGGCGTTAGCTGTCTTGATTGTCATTTGGTTCAGGTAGTGATTAGTTGGTGTGCCTTTGATTCCTGCAAAATTTGAGCTGTTTTATATTAATTTCCTGTGTTTGAGAGGGGCTCAGTCTAACTGGTCAGGTAGCGATCCATTGTTGTAATTTTGCTATCCAGTGCTTCTCTAATTTGATCAGGCAGTTGGATGAATGGGTGATCTGTTAAGCTTCATTTCTAGGTGAAAGTTCTGTATGCGGTAATGTACTTTGGGCTCGAATTTGAACAATTTTGATGCATGTTCTCTGCACTTAGCTATCCTGATTGTCAGTTGGTTGTGCTTTTAAGGATTTGTTCGCCTAAGATAGGATTTGAGTAGATTCAGCATTGGGTTCTTGGGCTTGTGCCATAGTTTATTTTAATCTAGCTTTCAACTTTTGAAGGCCCTCTTTGTTTTATGTTCTAGACATATCTAGTGTTTGATGGGGTGTATTGTCATCGCAGAAGTTCGAACTGCATTGAATTTTGTGCTTGTACACCCTTTAATTTAAAGGGTATGTTATGTTATCTCCCATCTCAATGCCAGAAATTTTCCTGTCTCCTGTAAAAATTTGAGTTGTTTTATGTTAATTTCCTGTCTTTGAGATGAACTCAGTCTGATTGGTCAGTTAGTGATCCATTATTGTAATTTTGAGATCCATCGCTTCTTTAATTTGATCATGCACTTGGAGAATGGTTGATGTATTAAGCTTCATTTCTATATGACCAGATGCGTTTCTACTAAATTAGACAGCACCATGATGCATCCATGAGCTGCTGATTTATTGAGCTCAGGTTGAGCTGCCTTTGAGTTGGTTCCACAGTTGCCAATTTCTCTAATAAAAATATATAGAGACAAATTAGTGGTCCCCTTTTACTATCTCTTCAGAAAATTTTATTTAACTTTGAAGAAATAGTTTGGTAGTTTCACTTATATTCATATGTTGGATGATAATATACATGATAAATTGGCGTAAGGTTCACAATTTCACATTACACCAAACTATCAGGGTGTGTTTGGATAATGGGAAATGGGGAGTGGGATTAGGATTGGGAAATCAATGAAGGGTTAGGATTAAATGGAACTGGAAGAATGAATGGTTAGGATTTAAAGATGCATTTTTGTGGGTGGGAAATCATTTCCCTATCCCATTAGCCAAACACTCCGTCAAAGGGAACAGCAGGTGGTATGGTAGTAAAGAGGTATCCTCAGGACAGGGCTACGTTGTTCCAGCTGGGACCCAAGCTGCCGCCCACTCCCAACGCTCCTGTAGGATGGAGCTGCTGTGTTTGTGTTATTGTGTGAGCGCGGAATTGAAGAGACTAGTGTTCCTTTCTTCTAGAGCCTCCAAAAAATCAGGATGGGTGTGACTTTTGCCAGCTCTTAGCTAAATTCTTGCACTTGGATAGACACCACTGCAAGAGGAACCAAAGCCAAATCTTCCGAGCATAGACACAAGAAATAAGCAAATGGTCGGCACACCCCTCCTGACCATGAAGCAGAAGGCTTAGTGGGTGTCCATTCACTGCCGGAGCATCTCATCTGTTGTCTAGATTCATTGATTTGCAATAAAAAAAATTCTAGAGTTAATTTATTGCGATTTCGTTGCTCTCAGATATCTACTCTATTCGTTACAACAAAGATATTTTCAGTAATGCCTTTGTATTAACTGTGCTGCAGGCCATGTCAATCATTCGATCTTCTGGAATAACCTCAAGCCTATCAGCGTAATTATCCAGTCCATACAACTTGCTCCATTTCTTTCTTCCTCCACTTACTTTTTTTCTACTGGATCTCCAATCACCGAATTAATGAAAATATTGGGTGTTTTACAGGAGGGTGGTGGTGATCCACCACATGCAAAACTTGGCTGGGCCATTGATGAGGATTTTGGTTCATTTGAGGCACTTGTAAAGAAGATGAGTGCAGAAGGTGCTGCTTTACAAGGATCTGGATGGGTGGTATGTACACCATGCATTGCTTTATCCATTGATGTGTCATCCTGTTCAGTCTGAAGAAATGTATTGTTCATTTATTATATTTATTTTCTCGTACAGTGGCTAGCTTTGGATAAAGAGGCAAAGAAGCTTTCAGTGGAAACAACTGCTAACCAGGTGAAAGTTCTTAACTCTTTGTAGATTATATTATTTGCGCATAATAACAGGATGTCCTATACCATGCAGTCTACTCTTGAACAACAACAGTTCAATTCAGTAGATTCTTATCATTTTTGTCATGTTTTCAATGTCTGTTGAGATAGTGATAAAAAACACTTCTGTAAGATCAAGGGATGGGGATTAGCAATATGGTACATCAATGGTTACTGCAGAAACACATCGTTAGAAACATATGCAATAATTTTGGTACATTGGGCAAGGAAACTGTTATTGGATGCATGTTCATTGTTCTGATAAAAAATGGTACCGATCAATATGCTAGTGGCTTGCTAAAATATGTTACTGCAGTTTAGTTAACATGTACTGTTGAAACAATACCTTGTTCAGCAGTCCTGCAATTGGATTTCAAGAGTTAAGAGCAAGGACACTATATTTTGTTTAATAAGTTGTTATGACATGGTACTTAAAATTAATGTGTTTTACCAGTATAAGATGTATTGTCTTCTGAACATACTATTTTCTAACATCCTGTAAACTTTTATGAAGTATCTATGAATTTTCATTGTTTAATGAATTCTGAATATGACTGTTCTAAGTACATGGCAAGAGTTTGCTGTTCTCATAGTTCAGTTTTTGCTTTGGCTAATGTGTTGAGCAATATGAAATTGTAGCCCTACTTTCTAAAGGAAAGAATACATTTTTTTTAGCATCCTACATGGTGATTTGATAATAGGGCACAGCTGACTTCTTGCAATTTGCAGGACCCTCTGGTAACGAAGGGGGCCAACTTGGTTCCTTTGTTGGGAATTGATGTCTGGGAGCATGCGTACTACCTGCAGGTAATCTCATGCTGTTGTGGGGGTCAGAGGCACACTCATTGTTTAGTTGCTCTTATTCTGCTGTTGGTTATTATTCCTAATGGCATGTTGTAATTTGCTTATGTTGTTAGTGTTGCTAGCGCCACATATGATGTGTTCATTGATCACAAATTCACACTTGAATGAGTTGGACAACTTATTCCCCTTGTAGCATTTGCACTACGAAGCTATTGCCTTTTTTTTTAAGATAATGGAAAGAATCCTGGGCTTTACTTCAAAGAAGCTACAACCACTTATTACATAATTCACTGAATGAAGCTACTGCTTGAAAATACGGTTCCCATTGTTTTCCACAAGACCTAACAGGAGCAGAGTAGAATGATATCACATTGTTTCATGGGTTATGTCTCAAAAGATCAGAGAAAATTTAGGAGTAGTAGGATGTGACTAGGCATCGAATACGCATGTGCATGAATACAAAATGTGAGTACCATTGAAGATTACTAGTATTGTACGTTCTGAACTTCTGATGTAGTACATAGTCTGACTATAGAAGGAATAGTTACCTCTGGCTGTTTAACAACTTACAACATCGTGCACACCCAACTTATTTGTGCTTCGAATTTCAACCTTTGCTATTGCTAAACAGTCTTCATTGATTTCCGTGGTTGCAGTACAAGAATGTCAGGCCAGACTACCTGAGCAACATCTGGAAGGTGATGAACTGGAAATACGCAGGGGAGGTGTACGAAAATGCGACTGCTTGATGTTGTCTGAAGGCAACGCTCATGGTTTTTTTTCACCTAGTACTGCCATGGATCTTTGTATGCAATAAAAATGGGCCTATTGCACTTCTGGACCTTGTGTACATTGCGTAGAGGTGGACTAATGCATAACATAATATGCCTGAGATTTTCTTCTTGTGCTGCTTTCCTGCATTTCTTTGCTCCTGGTGTTTCACTGCCCATGCATTTACTACTGCGCCGGTACTGCCTTTCTGTGCCAATTCCCGTTCTCAAAGCGAATGAATAATTCTGTGCTGATATACTACCTCCGTTTCAAAATATAGTGACTTTTAGCTATGAATCTGGACACATAATTGTTCAGATTCATAGTTAAAAATACTTATATTTTAGGATTGCTTATATTTTGGGACGGAGGGAGGGAGTAATGATGTAATTTAGGAAGAACACTCGTACATATGGAACGCATGCAGTTCTTTGTAAATTTACAAGAATAGTCTCGTGGAACGCAAGTAATGGATCAACCAAAATACTAATCCCCCTCGTACCTCAGCACAGTCCTCATCGCCTGGTGTACATGCGTGCATCTTTCATATAATCGCGGAAAAGCCACGACACTTGTTTTTAAGTGCTCAAGTTGTATAAAAGTTGGATGTGAGCGATATCTTTTGTAATATTTAGAATATTATCTAAAAACAATATGTTTAAATGTATGTTGGGGAATAATTTCATCAGATTATATTTTAACCATATTTAATAAATATATTCGAACATAAATTTTTATCGGTCAATTTTCTTGTTTCTGACTTTATTTGCTTGGGTGCGTGCTGAAGAATGTGGTGTTCTTATCTCCGATTCTCTTTCACAAATTTTAACCATCATTTTTTTTTATTTTACATAGATCAAGACGAATTGTATGATTGTTTCCGGTGTGTTTTTTCAAAAAAAAAGAGCAGTTTTTCTTTTCATTTCGTAAATTTCAGTCACTTTTTAAAAACAAAAAAGTACTCCATACAGCTTAATTTTGGAAAATTCAAAGTTCAGCATAATTACAAAAAAGCTTAGGACAAACGACTCGCCCTTGCGATTTTGCGAATGATAAACGAACGGTTTCATTTCACAGACGCTTCACTTCGCTCAGCTGTAGTAGACATCGAGTTTGAGTCGGACTCCGACTCCGAGTCCCATTCGGTACCCCTCCATCCATAAATCTCGTTTCGTCCTCGCCCGCCGCCTCCGCTTCCCATTCCCGCCGCCCGCTTCCTCCACCTGATCCTTCGCCCTCGATTCGCTGCACTTGATCCGCCGCTGCGCCGCCTCTCGATTCGATCCATCTCTGTGCCCTAGCTACCCTCGCAGCAGAGTCCACTCCACCCGAGGTGCGACATGGCCGTCGGGATGGCGCCTCCTCCTCCCACGGCCGCCGCGCTGCCGTCCCGCCGCCGCCTCAGGGAGCGGATCCAGTCGGAGCGCCAGGTGGTCGGCGGCCTCCTCAAGAAGGCGGAGGCCTTGGTGGCCCGCGCCAAGGAGGACGTCCATGGCGGGCGCGCCGCGGCGGCGCACTCCGAGGCCTGCGCTCTCCCTCGCCGCGGCCGTTTCTTGCGTCGTCCGGAGGCCCGACCGGAGGCGGAGGCCACCGCCGCGATGGACGGGGCTGCCTCTCCCCGCAAGAAGAGGCGGAAGGCGGCGACCTCCGCGAGCTCGATCGTGGAGGTGGAGGTGATCGAGCCGACCATGCCCAAGGCGCAGAGGGACCGCCTCTACGGCCTCCTCTCCTCGCTGTCGGCGGAGATGCCATTGCCGCCGCACATCGTGGCCTTGATGCAGAGCCAGTGCTGCTGCGTCGTGGACCCTAATGGCGAAGAGATGGATGTGGACCTTGGCTCCGCGAAGGATGCTGCCTTGTTCCAGTTGCTGAACCTGCTCGAGGAATTCGCTCAACAGCAGACCACCAAGATTCAGCCACGGCTGGCGGAGGAGCAAGAACCGCCCAAGATCGAGGCACCCGACGCCACCAGCCGCTCGTCGTCGATCTGCCAACTGATGGAGGACGGCGAGGTCGCCGATGAGGGCGCGGACATGGACATGGACATCTGCGGCGGCGTCTCTCCCCTGGTAGTGGACAAGGTTCAGTTCTCGCCGCTTCCGAAGCAAGAAGAGGATGATGAGTTGATCAACACCAGCGGCGGCGGCGGCTTCTCTCTCCAATCGCCGCCTGCCAAGCAACAAGAGGAAGAATTCGTCCGCGATGCCTCCCCTGTTGCAGTTGACAAGTTCCCTCAAACTGAATCTCCTAGCTCGAGCACTGGCTCCTCTTCTGGATCGTCATCATCTTCATCTTCGAGCGGTGGCTCATCTGGATCATCCTGCAGCGGTTGCTCCTCTTCAGGCAGCGACTCTAACGATGACGGAGACAGTGCGAGCAGCCGCCCTGATAACTCTGAACTTCCCACTGAAGCTGCAGCGAAGCCATTGGAGCAGCAGCAGGTCACAGTCTGCGGCGGCGTCTCTCCCCTGATCGATGAGTTCTCGCCGCTTCCGAAGCAACAAGAGGATGACGAGTTGATCGACGTCACTGGCGGCGTCTCCCCTGTATCAGTCAACAAGTTCCCAGATTCTCCTCGCTCGAGCAGCAGTGGCTCTTCCTCCTCTTCCAGCAGCGGTTCGTCCTCCTCCTCGTCGGAAAGTGACTCAGACGACGACGGCGACAGTGCGAGCAGCAAGCCAGACACCGCAGATCATCCCACTGAAGCTGAGGCGCCGAAGCTTCAGCCATTGGAGCAACATGAGGTCGCGGAGCAAGACAAGAAGCTGATCGCCGAGAGAGCAGCATCTCCGAACACCGAGATGCAGGAGCTGATCGCCAGGGCCCAGGAGAGGCAGAAACTCCGGCTTGAGCTCGAGAGGAAGACGGCGCGCGAGCTCGAGAGGAAGATGGCGCGCGAGCAGCTGCAGGAGATGGAGAGGACGGCACGGCCGGTCTACGACAGCATCGACCCCAGTGTCATGAAGCAGCTCGGGATCTCCGGCGATGCGCAGTACATCGTCAGCCCGGTGAAATCTCGGCACAGCCTGCATCGGCGCGGCGGCGGCGGCCTGCTACAGAAGCTCGGCTTCTTCCTCAAAGAATAGCATGATCCATCATCAATGGTGTCTGTAAAGCTCTGTAGGTTTCTTGTCACATTGGGATCATATGCTCTGAGCCTCTGACAATGATCTCATCAGTTGCTTGCTCTCAAGCCTTTGATGTACTTAAAACCATTGATTAGCTTGCAGCTAAGTTATGCTGTACATGTGTCTTGTATTATATCTGATTATATGAAATTATGAATCGTCTTAAACAACTGTACTGTTTCTGCCTTATTTCAAGTGTATGCTTAGTCTTCTGTTCATGAATGATAACAGTTGCACATGTTGTTAGTTTATCTGAAACAAGCAAAGCGACAGCATCAACGAAGTAGTCTTTTTTTTTTTTGGTGAGATTTACCTTTGGAAAAGGTAAGAGAAACTGATTTATAAGATATATCTGGTGCAAAATTGAAGATCAGGAACAATGTTTGTACATGGTAAGCACCCTTGAGTTTCCAAGAGTGATGCTACTAACCTCTTAACAAACAGAAAAACAAAGAGAAACAACTAATAGTGCTAAAATGCCTCAACAACACAGCTGACATTGCTGCCTCCCACTTGCAAAGTAACAAAGCAAAAATTGCTGCCTGTGTAGTGCAGGATAGATGGGTGAACCTATTTCAGATTACTTCTTGTGTGAGAGCTCTCCACTAGTTTTGGGAAGCAAATGCTCACAGGAAACCTTGATGGGCTGCTCATCCCAAATATACTTGTGTGCTCTTCAACTGCAACGATCTTGTCTGCTTCGTCAACCACATAGGCCATAGGTTGCTGTTATCGCAAATTCCGGATCTCCTGCGCGACGTCTAAGCAACACTCAATGGGACAGTTGGTCTTGATTGCATTGGCGCCTATATGTGATCTACAAGCAGCATACCCTTCCTGCTCACACATTCAGAGGGTGCTCAGATAGTCAGATTGCAAAGGTATACCAATATATGCTTATTAAAAAGTCAAAAGGTTAATTAAAGATGCTTCATTAGGTAAATACTTATTAAGAAGAACTGACTGATACATATCACATAAGAAGCAAAAATTAAGAAAAGATGGGTGCTGAGTTAGCTAGGAATTTGCATGTTAACTGAACATTGATATTACAGACAAGCGAAATACCTTTCGCAGCGAGTTTATGAGGGTGCCAAGTGGTGGAGAGTTTACTTTTGCACGGCTAGCAATCTAGAACCACATGCAACAAATTAGTTTTGCTGGAAGATTTCTGATAGTAAGCTTGAATGGTACATTACATATTTCTGAACAAGTTAATAAGGAACTGCAAAATATACCTCATCAAGTCTGATATATCCAGGGGGCAACCTTGAGTCGCTTTCCTCAATCATTGTGTCAAGAAGTTTTTCTAATGAGACACCATTCTCAATTGTGTTTGCCCATCCCCATTCTGTTGCCAAGCTTAACATTTCAGTTAGGAAGGTGGTATCATGGAGAGGACCTGTCCAAAGTGGTCCTACAACAGTGATCGAATCGGGATCCTGTAAAAGAAAATGTAACCACATAATAGCACAGTTCCTTACCCAAGTATTTAACAGTAAGAATGGCTTGATGAGATTTCTTGCGTATGGCATACAGTTCTCAACTTAGGTGATGAACTTATGTGATGGAGACATATTCATTAGTAGCATGTGGCATATGGTTCTCAACTTATTAAATGGGCATGTTTGTATGCTAGCAAAGTGATAATATTTGGTTTATTACCTTTGGGGTGTTCTATTGGAAACAAAGTAGTCAGATAACCTTTTGTATTGTGCTAACATACTCTAATAGCCCTTACTTAACCTTAAGAAGTATTGATCTACTTTTCAGACCTGCTAAAAATATTTAATATGGTCCAACACTTGCTAACTATATCATAGCAAAGCCTGGGTTGGCAGCTATGGCTGATCTGGGAGTATCCACTACCCAGTAAGCCTGACTCTAGAGTGAATCATGTATCCGGGAGCTTTACCACTCCAAGCGATCACACATGATTTGATTTCAACAAAGAAATCTTTCGCATCAATACAGTAAAAAAAATGGGACAAACTATGATTTGCTTATGATGCCTTTCACATTATTATACCACCACAGACTCGTGTACCTACAATTTTGTCTGCACAACCACAAGTAATCTGCCCCAACTCATCAAATCCAAAAGTCCGTGACTGGCCACAACTTTTGCAATGGCAAATGAAACCATAATTACTGCCAAAATAGAAATAGTTAGCAACTACCCATTGTATGGACTAACTGTTCATATCGTCATAGAATGACCAGTAACAAAAGAACAATGACTAACCTGATGCCATCTTGTTTTCCATTATGTAACTGTACCATGACTCGAAAAATAGGGCCATGATATGCATAGTATGAGAACAATGGAGTAATGTGAAATCCCAGAATAGCAGCTTCCCGTGCAGCACCACCTATAAGCATTCGCAAACCGACCTCATTCGGATATGGCACTGGACGTATATATGCTCCATATGATGACAAAGAGCTAAAGAAAACATAATGTTACAAGGTTCACATGAAAGAAGCATGGATGCTATAATGCCCACTACAAAACAAACCTGGTCAAGTTCAACACAGAAAAACTAATCTGTAGTGTAGCCTAGTGTGCATTACAAAAGGAATTGACTATTACAACAGGAGCATTGGCACACCACCAAAGAAATAGTGATATGCATGTACGAAGTGCACACTGTCATACTCAACAATCTAATTTGAATTCACTGTTTCTAATTATACTACAAACAGAATTACTGATTTGATGTTCATACTCATTCTAAAATCTGCTTTCTAACTTCGCTCACACCGTTTGTCCATCTGACATGGATTTTCCTAGGTAAACATATGTTTCATGCTCTCTAATAATTGACATTATTTGCCATACGTTATTTAGCAGTTTCTAGTACACCTACTGAACAACTAAAAGGCCAGCATTTGAACATGTAAAACTATGTACATTTTCAGAATACAAAGATTACAACCGTCAGTTGAGCTATAAGAAGCAATTCAATGCAGAAGTGTAGCAGACACTCCAGTTTCAATTGAGCAAATATTAATCAACATAATCTGAACACAATAAACAGAACAATTCTAATAATTGACAAAAGATAGAAATGCTTGATGAATTAGCACAAGCTTTAAGAAGCTAAGGCGAAGGCATTACAAATTGGATGATACTACCCGAGATGTGTCATGCCGAAATGGACCACGGACTCACCTTCTTGAGCCATACCCTCTCGCGGACCGCCAATCCGTAGATGTCAGATACAGTAGGCCCCCAATTCTGAGCGCCAGCAACGCCGCCCTGATGTACGCGGCGTCGCCGCCGAACGAGTCCACGTCGATGACGTCGAAGTACTCGCGGCGGAGGTAGCGCTCCGAGAGCAGCCGGGTGGCGTCGAGGTGCGACACCGCCCACCTCCTGTCCGGCGCCCGCTCGAAGCGGGAGAGGTTGCCGACGATGACGGGGCGGAGCGCCTCGGAGGCGTCGTTGGCCCAGACGAAGTCGGCGCCGACCTGCGCCAGGTAGCGGAGCGCGCGGACGCCGCAGCCGCACATGGCGTCGAGGCAGAGGAACGGGGCGGAGGGGCCGGCGGCGCGGCGGTGGAGGGTGGCCGCGAGGACGGCGAGGTCGCGGCCCGCGGCGCTGTCGCTGCGGTAGAATGCGGAGCCCGGGTCGAAGGTGACCCCGCGCTCGGAGTGCGCGCAGGCGGGTGGCTCCGCGCTGCGCCGGCGGTGGCGGTGGCGGCGAGGTTGGAGTGGAGAGGGGAGCGCTCTGGGGAACGAGAGCGCCGCTGCCGCTGCCGCGGCGGCGGAGATGGCCATGGCGACGGGAAGAGAACAGCAGAATGGTTTGGATTGGGGTACAGGGCGTACAGCCGTTCGGGTTCACTTCAGCGAGGCCGACATTTCGTGTGAATTGTTTTTTCCTGAGTTACGGGTGTAATTTTTGTAGCATTGCACGTCCTTAAAGAGGAAGTCATTAATAAGATAAGTCCTTAAAAATGAGAGAGTATATATACGAGGGATCTGTTTGACAGGATTTTAAGGACTTGTTTAACTTCTAAATTTAGTTTTAAGTGTTGAGTCTCGAGTGAAGTTGTGAAAGCGCTCTACCCAACTCCGTTCCTATTTTAAATTGAGCTAAAACTGTTTAGCTGAGCTTTAACTCCAAGAGAAGAGGAGCTGAAACTGGAGCCTGAGCCTGGAGCTGTACCTAACAGTCCATAACTTCTAAATTTAACTTTAAAAGCTACAGTGAAGTTGTAAAGCAGTTTCACCTCTTTAATTTATTTTGTGATAGCACTTCAACCAGCTTTACTCTTATTTTTTATGGAGAAAAATTGTTTGTCTAGAGTTTACCTCTAAGAGAGATGGAGCTGGAACTATGTAACATAGGTTCTAATTCTTTCACTAATCTTAACTTTATTAGGAGAGATAGAGCTGGAACTCTGTAAAAATAGGTTTTGATTCTTTCACTAATCTTAAGAGCATCACCAAGAGCATCCCGAAATTCTGTCCTCAACATTTCAGTTATGGGAATTCTAAACAAGATTTGAGGTGTTAAAATTTTTATTCCTCCAACAGATTAGCTATAATTGGTTTCCTAAAAACAAAAAAGTAGGCCCTTAGAAAACTTCCAACAGAAATCAGCTAGTTTCCACCCCTCGCTCTCACGAGATCACGCTTGCGCACGTGCCCCTTCGTCGCCCCTCTCACGCAGTACCATGCCGGCAGATCAACCCGACCGGTACACGTGCACCCCCAGTTTTCAACATGTACACCAGCAATTCCAGCAGGCAGGAAAGCACCAACTAGCAGCAAGCACGACTAGCAATTGCAGCAGGCAGCAAATCACCAAGTAAGCAGAACATCAGCAAGAAATCTGCAGCAGCAAGCAGCTCCCATAGAAAGTAGGAAGCAGCAACAGCAGCAAGAACCAGCTGCATCCATCAACTCCAGCATCAAGTTTGACAACAGCAACAAATCATATCCCTATATACTTCTGTAAACTATATTCTATACATACCCCTATATGCTTTTGTATATGAAATGCACAAATCATATCCCTGAATCCTTACATTAATTTCTGAATTGTCAGGATAACATATATCAGAAGTAGTTTGGATTTACAAAGTTCAGCCCAGAAAGTTAAAAGAGCATATTTTTTTCTTATTGCCTCCTATGCAGGCAGCAAGCAGCAAGCAGCCACAGCAATACATAGCACCAAATTCACTATGAATACATGCTCATTTCTGAAAACATGTCCAACTACTGTTATTTATGAAAATGCAAGCTCTAACAGATAGCACAGGTGGTTCATACAATTTCTGAATTGTATAAATTTGACACTACTGTCCAAATTCAAATATATACAGTTCATATCAGCCCTGACATCATAGTTTATGAATAACATATAACACAAGTGGGTTAGATAATTTCTGAATTATATAAATTTGACACTATAATTTTCTCTCTGTTCACAGTAAGAACAGAACACCTGAACATTGAGCTTTTTGCAGACTTATTACAAACTACAGATATAAAAAAGGGCAACTTTTCCATTTCATACACTTATCGCTATTGATTTGTAATAATTTATAATTGATTACTGCTAACTTGCTAAGCTAGCAAATTTCATTATTAATTGATTATCAATGTGGAGTTCAGATGTACCACTTAACCACAAACATCAGATTCGGCAGCAGGATAAGATAATGCACAATTACAATAGACTTGAGATGCAACAATGATCCAGAATCGGGGACAGGACTTATTGAAATTGCTTCCACGAAGGAACTCTTCTTCACCAACAAACCAAGCCATGGACAAAATGGCGCTGGAAGCGTTGTGGGAGATGGGATCCAGTGATTGCCTGGGCACCTGCTGGTACATGGCCTCTGTCGCCTGAACACCGGAAGTCGACGATTGGCCAGGAGGCAGAGCACGGGCCGATTCACAACGTATCATGGTTGCGCTCTAAATCGAGGCGGCGGTGGTGGTTGGGGGAGCGGCGATGGCTGTCCTCCTCCAGCCATCGGTGGAATGCGGTCGACGCGCGATACCATGCACCGCTCCCTGGAAGAAAGCCGACGCCCGGCAACCATGGGGAAGCACCTGCTGCATTCCGATCTGTTGCGAGGAAGAGGACGCCGTCGGTAGATGAGGTCGCCAAGAGGAGCTGCGTGGGAACGTTTCACCAAGCGCGCGCGAGATAGCCGCGGGCAAAGGATTGGGAGCGAAATCGATTTGCTAGAATTGGAGAACGAAAAACCAGGACTTGGGTACCAGAAGGATTGGGAGAGCTGGTAGGGAATCTGTTGGAAGCAATCTTTGATCAAAAATCCCCAAAATACCACATAGGGAATGATATCAAAATGCTGTTGGTGATGCTCTAACTTTATTACGAAGTAACAAAGGTACATAGCATAACTGTTACTCACTGGATCAATATTCATATTATCTTGATAAACTTAGCAAAAATTGCTACATGAATTTATGTAATTTACTGGTAGACATCATAAAAATATGTAACGGCTGAAAGACGTTTAAAAAACTGGTAATTTAATAGAGGACACTTTCAGCTCAATTGGCGAGAGAAATTCTTCAAAGATACATTTGTTTGGCAAGTGGGATTGGGAAATAATATCCCACCCTCCAAAGGACAATATTGCATCCTAACCATCCATTCTTCACACCTCATTTAATCCTAGCCATTCATCCATTTCCCTTTCTCAATCCCACCTCTCATATCCCATTTGCCAAACACAGTGTTAGGGTGAAAAGCTTTTCAGCTAAGACTGGAACGAGGATGGAATATAATGTATGCTAGGTGATGTACTTGGGGTGATAGTAAATTTAGATTTGCATAATTTCTAAATTTTTACTCTAACGTCATGTTTGAAATATGTGGCCTTAAGGGCATTCTCAACTTTCTTAAGAATTTATCAATCTAACTGAGCCGAAAGTGTTCTCTAGCAATTACCAGTTTTTTTAGGATGTCTTTCAACCGTGACACGTTTTTTTATGTATATCAGCAAATTACATAAATTTTAAGTATCTTGTAGCAAAATTTGCCTAAAAATTACTGTTATTAGAAGTCGTGCCTTATACAATTGCATGATTGCATAATATAACCGAGAATAAATTTTACAATGAAAACTCTCAATGACTTGCAAGCCTATCTTCAGTAAATTTAGATCAAATTTTAAAATCATGCTACATACATATAATTATGAAGTTATGCCTTATAGACTATGGTAAAGTAGTACTCCCTCCGTTTCATAATATAAGTTATTCTAGTATTTTCCATAATCATATTGATGCTAATGAATCTAGACATATATATCTATCTAGATTCATTAACATCAATATGAATGTGGAAAATACTAAAATAATTTACATTGTGAAACGGATGAAGTATTCATATATTAATGACTCAACTGCAAACTCCATAAAAGTTACTTTAAACACTCTCTTCAACCCACCACCTTCACGACAAAATGCCAAGCTTAAAGTCTAAGTTGGCCCAACTTCTAGAACAGCCCAAGCCTGCTCATCTTAATCCAATCCCTTCGGAGGAATTCATTCAAAAGCCTAGGCAAGCCATGTGATACACACGGAATAAATAATTAGGACTAAGGTTACGGTCTCAAATTCTCAATTCCACAGTTGTATATGACGGACGACACACTAGCCTGTGGTCAACTTTGTTCGTCGTTGTGCTCCTTCTGCTCCCATCCCGTCCAGAGACGACGGCCGGCCAGCCTGAGGTCGATTCGAACAGCTAAAGCACGAGCACTGCTATGGCCGGCCACGGGCGTCGGTGAGCGATGGCGGCATCGACGATTACTCTCATCTGCTGGTTTATATCCTGTAAGCTCCCTCTGCTCCTCTTTCTCAACTCCGGCCGTCTGCTCTCCGCCAATGTAGCCTACTCTTTCCTTATCATATCAGAATAAACAAAACTAGTAGTAGTACTCTGTCTAAATTTGTACTCCCATAATATTTTGAATATTGGACCACCTTTTATTACTAAGCTTTCACTTTGAACTACCCCTTTACCTATGTTTTCAGTTTGGACTAGTTAATATTTCCTTTTTGTTGCACTCTAGACCACCTTCTCTCTTCATCTCCTTCACCCTGTCTTCTCCCAAACTCCGATCACCAAACTCCTCCATCAGTTGTAGGCTTTATTTTGGCAATGGCTCTTAGCAGCAGTCGGGCTTGGTGAGTGAGGCACACTCATGTACTCAGTGGTCGATTAGAGGAAGCGAAGTAAGGCAAGGCAGTGGCTCTTGGTAATGATGAAGGCAGCAGAGAGCAAGAGGCCAATAAAATTATTCTTTTGTTGCCTCCCCTTGGTGTTACCTTCGCTTGATTCCTCTTCTATTTCCATTCGAATTATTTCTGCAAATTTTCCACCAGACCGATATCAGGCGCGCTGAGACAGGTGCCAAAATCAAGATCATTGGACGAGCTATCCGGCTTTACCTCCATCTTCACCAGCCCTTGGTCGTGCTAAGCTAGCCCATCACGATATCGGCAGCAATAAAGATAGAGCTCAAGCGTGTACAATGCCGGCAACGTGCTCAAGCATGACTTCTGCCGCTGCTGTCCGTAGTTGCAGGAGTGGGGAGGTCAGGATTCTCATGTGATCGATCTCCGGCAGTAGAGTGAAGAGAAAGAGGGAGGGAGCTAGAGGAACAAGAAGCCTAAATTGAAACATTTTGGGAAAAATACCTAGTCCAAGGTGAAAAGCTTAGTTTATCCCTAGTCCAAGATGCAAGACTGGTTAAAAAATGTGTCTCAAAGTGCAATTTACTCTAATATTTTTTTATGGAGGGAGAATCCCACCAATAATACTCTTTCAGAAAGTGTTCGGATTTATTTGAACTGATTGTGCTGAGTTATTTGTAGCAACTAGAACAATGCCTCTTTTTTTTTCAGTTGCAGCAGATCTCAAATAAACATTATACATACTAAATTCTAAAAGTAGCTATTATTGTTTGAATCCCCCAAATTCGAAATACTGCATGCAAAATGGAAAAGATTAAACAGCTATATCAATGAGGATTAATACACATAGTAGTTATATAGTTCAGTATTGTCGCTCCATTCCTATCAAGGCATCAACCCCGGAGTTGTTTCTCAAAATTGATACCTCCATGGACGACTAGAATGTCATGTTTGGCTGACCAATTTGAGTAACTCATAGGATGAAAATGGTTCCCAAAATAATGTAGAAGCATATATTTGCAATTAGGGATAAATAACTGTCGCTACCTCTGATTCCAACTGTAGATCATCTTAGAGAAGTACTCACAAGAATTAAGAAAGTGTAGAAATAAATAATGTTGCTGTCCAGCAATAACTACACAATAAACAAAGGGCATTTTTACCAAACTGGAAATTTCGTGGTGTTACAAAATAGGACATGAGGCATATCAAATTGAACAGCACCGATATGAGTAGCTGCAAACTATCAGTTTTCCATATGCTGATATACAAATGCTTCCAATTGGACAAATTAACTTCAAGTTATGCACTTATGCTATATTGTAGGTTCTTTTTGTCTACTCTTTCTGCATCATTTGAAGTACTTTCAGAATGTCCAGATTTCTAATGTTTCTGAGATATTATTTTAATATGAACAACACTAGTAGCATATTTCTAATGAAGAAACAAACTGGCTTTGAACACACAAATGCTTGTTACAGGCTAGCAGTGTTGGATGAAACAAATGATCTTCTTGCATAATATCTCTTGGATTGATTATCTTGAGTAAACACTGGTTTCATACAGGACTGCAGAAACTGAATTGAGCATTGTCGAAACTTGAAACGCATGTAAAGATGGCAGCGTTGATCCAACTATGGAATGATTGGGAGTTACAGGTGCTGGTGCTTTTAAGCTTCATGTTGCAAGTGTTCGTCTTCTTTTCCGGTGGTCTTCGACAGCGCAGCACCAACTCGTCATTGAGGATTCTGGTTTGGTTAGCATATTTGGTGGCTGATTTCATTGCAGTCTATGCCCTTGGGCAACTATCACGGCAAAAAACAGATGCAAGTGAAGCTGGGCAACCTCACAAGTTTGCATTCTTCTGGACGCCTTTCCTTCTCATTCATCTTGGTGGGCAGGACACAATCACTGCGTTCTCTGTCGAGGACAATGAACTGTGGCTCAGGCATCTGCTCAATCTTCTAGTCCAAGTTTGCTTGGCCTTGTATGTGTTTTGGAAATCAGCAGCAGGCAATCAGTTTGTAGTCTCAGCCATCTTTGCTTTTATTTCAGGAATCATCAAGTATGGGGAGAGAACATGGGCACTCAAGAGTGCGAGCCAGAAATCCCTTAGACGCTCAACCGATGGAGGAGTAGTAGGTCAATTTCCTGAACTAGAAGACTATCAAGAGTTGGGATACAAAACTATGGTCATGTTTGCTCTGTCTAGCTCACCAGTTGTGAGAAACCTACTTGTTGGACGCAAGATTGATCAAATGGAAGAAAGGGTACGTCATGCATTTTCAGGTCGACTGTATAGTCAAGTTTCAGAAAACGCGCAACTTGTGTTCAAGATTCTAGAGATCGAGCTGGGAATGATGTATGACAACCTCTACACTAAGGCGAGAGTGATTCGTACATGGACTGGCGCCATACTCCGATTCATCACCTGCATCTCCCTGATGGTTGCATTTGTGCTCTTTCTGACAGGGAACAAGAAGTGGCACCATAGCAGAGTTGATGTTGCCATAACCTATGCATTGTTCATTGGAGCACTCTGTTTGGAGGTCTGTGCGATCTTCTTCATGGTGATGATGTCGCCATGGACATGGGCATCCTTGCAATATTGGAAGTACCATAGGCTCGCAGATGCAGCTTGGTATGTTTTCAAGAGCCTACAGACGGAGTCTATGTCATGGTGGTCGAATTCCTTGGGGCAATACAATTTCCTCAGTTCCTGCTTCTCTGACAATGTGTTTGGGAAGGTGATGAGCCTTGTTGGAGCAAAGGAATTTTGGAGGAACTTTCGGTACTCTCAGCGTGTGGGCGTCAAAGCAGAGATGAAGAAGCTCGTCTTTGAAGCCAAGTGCCTTGCCGAGATCTTCGGTGCAAGCCAGACATCAAGTGTCGATGCGGATCCAAATTCAGGCGTCGGTTCAGCACTGGACATAATCCTGCGGGAACAGTTCGAGGTGGCCATCCTCTCGCTACACGTCTACACCGACATATTCTTGCACCGATGCATGAATCCCACAAGTGCTGATAGCTGCGACGCTACCAGGGAGAGACGGCATCTGATGGATGCGTGCAGGACAATATCTGAGTACATGTGCTACCTATTGGTCGTCCATCCTGAAATGCTTCCTGTCAGTGGCAGTGTGCGTGATGTTCTAGATAAGGCTTCAGAAACCGTTGCCAAGGTCAGCTCTGGAGCTGCTGCAAGCAAGGGCAGAGTCAGTGTCGTCCTGGAGAAACTGGCTACAGACCGTGACCTGAATGACTTGTCTGATCCCATCACCCTCGCTGGGTTTGTCTTCAGGGGCCACAAGGAAGAGGCTGTGCATTGTCATGAATCACTGCAAGTTCTTGCGCGCGCGTGGGTTGGGGTTCTCCTCTATGCAGCCGGCAAGTCCCGTGGCGAGAACCATGCAAGGCAGCTCAGCATGGGTGGGGAGTTTCTCAGTTTTGTGTGGCTGCACATGGCGCATTGTTCACTAGGAGACATGGGCACATTTGAGGTTGAGCTAGTTCGACCGAGCGCGGTGAATGAGGGCGGGCGTAAGATGTTTGTATGGGGCTATCAGCGTCCTCGGTGAACACACCACCCTCATTTCCCTCCTGGTTTTTTTGCTCAGGACACTTCACTCCTACTGGCCAATTATGGTCATGTCTACTATATATTTCATGAAAGTTTGTGTGAACTATATTCTACTTAAGACAGCATGATTTATCAAGTTTTTCATAACGGGAAATCAGTGCCATTCTATTCTGAAAACATGCTGGACAAGATTTTTCTATCTATAACATAAAGGGAAAAAAACAAGAGTTTGCTCAATTTTTTATTTAATAAAGAAAGGAGCTACTCCAGTTTTGTAGCCATGCATTTTTACATGGTCCATACATGATCGGAAAGCTTAAATGATCGAAAAGATGATTGGATAAGTTTCCTGCAAAGCCATTATCATACAGAGTTCTATCAGCAACAAGTTGTTGCTAAAAAAAACTAAGTTTCAGTTTTCTCTAATCTAAACTATATCAGTATATAACTTTAAAGTGCTAATTAGATGGATTTTTTTTCTCAGACACAAGTACTAATTAGATAGATGGACTTGCATTCTATAATTACACTATATAAATGAATCGAACAAGACAAAAAAAAAACAATCATGGTACATAATCCAAATTATATATATCCCATCCACATTTTTCATTCACCGATCTATTCAAGTTCTATTCAGCATGCTACATGCAACTATAATTCATATACGTTAAACACATCTAGTTTGAAATGTCCCCATATATCCAAGCGACCTTATGATTCAATCTTGTCTTCGGCTGTGGTTTTGGGATAAGTTCACTGACCTTAGCAGAAAAGGGAAAACACAGATGTTGAACTTCAGGGAGCTTTGTTGCTGTCGATGTTGGGGGGAAGCGCTGCAGGGTGGCGGCTGGTGAGGGAGCAGCGAGAGCGACTCCGGCGAGGAGATGCCGTCCGCGGCGAGGCTGTGGACTACGGAGGCCGGATCCAGCGGGACCAGATCTGCCGCTGGCCTAGAGTTGGGGCGCACGGCGAGATTCGGGCCGGAGATCCTCCCGCGGTGCCTCGTCCTTGTCGTTGGCGGTGACATTCCTGGCGAGGGGCGGTGGTCGGTGGCGCTGGGAGAAGGGGAGGAGGAACTGGCGTGGATTTTTCACCTTTTATCCAATTAGAAAACTAATTATTCCACGAATAGATACCTAAAAACTTATTCGAAGAAATTGATCATTTTGATGACGCTAATATTAACAGCGTCATGGTCCAACGTGACAACGCTAATGACGTTGCCACGGTTCCCCTTGCCCTCACTAAATGCTAAGTCACTTATTTGAAGGAGGACGACGCCAATGTTGTTAATGCGCCGTGAAAAGGGTTCATTCCTAAAATAAGTTTTTAAGGGGTTTATTTGTAGAATAAGTTTTTTAAAGCATCAAAAGTGAAAAATCTAGAGACTAGGTAGAGGCGTTGGGCGACACGTAGCTGGGTTCGGCAGTGGGACTCTTGCGAGACCAACGTCGCAGTTAAAGGAGGCTAAAATGGAAAATATAGGTGTTTGAATCTCCTGAAGATGAAGATAAAGATTAAGTGTTTTACGCAAAACGAGGTGATAATAACGTGTGATTAATTGAGTTTGAATTATTACAAACTTGAAAAATGGATTAATCTTATATTTTAGAATAACTTTCATATAGAAAGTTTTCGCACGAAATATATCGTTTAGCAGTTTGAAAAGCATGCCACGAGCATCCAAAAGTTTATCTAACTTTGTTGGAGAAAAGAACAGGCACAAATTTACCATTACAGGATCGAAAACGGAACGGATATTTCTTGACCACCCACCTGATCCAACTCTAAGGAAAATAATATAGAAGAGAAAGTAGGATATTCGTTATTATCCGAGTTTTAATCCGAATCCGTTAAGAAATATGGGTTAAAATACAATAAGAGTTTTATAGCCGGTATGTCCCATATTATGAAACATACTTAAAAATATATTATAAATTCACCAACAACCATAATAAAAGATTGATTAACTTGATAATATCGTATATTTTTTCCTTGATGAATCTCTTTTAACACTTTAATTGTTTGTCTATATTTAATATCTATCAATTGAAAATACAAATGGATATTCGTTCATGAATCCATTTTGAAGAAAATAATATAGAATATGTTACAGGATAAGTGATTTGTTATCTGACAATATCCATATCCAACTTAATATTTCGAGAGAATCCCTTATATGCCACTGAAAATTGGTCTGATCCTTTTATATGCCATTGAAAATTGGCTCTTCCCTTATATGCCATTAATCCAAATTTGCACACCCTCTCATGTCACTCCCGTCAGTTGACTGTGTATTGACCGTTAATTCTTAAGGAAAAAAGGCATATTTACCCTTTTGATTATAGGGCATGCCTAACAACTCAGAGAGGGCAAATATGTCTTTTTTACTTGAAAGCTAACGTTCAACACACGGTCAACTGACGGTAGTAGCATGAGAGGATGCGCAAATTTAGACCAATGGCATATAAGGGAAGAGCCAATTTTTAGTGACATATAAGGGATCAGACCAATTTTCAATGGCATATAAGGGATTATCTCTAATATTTCACCCCTCCTTACATAAAGCCAATGGCAAAGAACGTGTCCAGTACCGTGTTGGTTGATAAACCCATACCAAGCCGGTACCAATTGTACTTGGTTGTCCAATCAATCTAGTGTCAAAGACATACAGACTCATCTTTTTTACTTATGTTTATGTTTATGCTTATCAGCCAAAATTTAAATTTTTAACCTTAAACTTGAAGTTGATTTTAAGGTTTTTTTCATCGAAGTTTATTTTTCAGCCTTTTCTTTTAGATCGCTAAGAACACGTATATAAAAGTTTTATTTAAAAATTATTTTTTGTTTGTAAATATGCTGTTGCGCTTATATGCTTAAAATAAGTCAAACGATGGCTTCCATAGATATTTTGAAAACATGTATACTCATATATATACACGCATACACGCAGACTCATTTTTATAAACACACCCTATTTTAAGATTAACAAAGTCACCACAAACGTCTTACCTTACTAACGGATCCGTCCCGCATAGCTACGTAGCTACGTTGTTCTCACGAGTCACTGTTCACAAACAAATAATCATCAGCGACATGTATTCTTTGTGAATTTCCCAAGCTTATGATTATGCAGCTATTTGAAGAATTTGTTTGGAAAAAAAATTCGGTCGTTTAATTTGGCATGGCTAACTGTCAAAACTAAGCGTGAAGTCTAGAGTTTCCCTGCATAGCCCTTGAATACCTCGATTTAATTACAGGACAAAACATTGTACATATGCCAGCTTGATTCATTAACACCAAAAATTAACGGCACAATATATCCATTTACAGCTCAATCGATTCGATCAATCCAACTATACAAAAACAGAATCAATATAGCTCACAACCCAACGCAACAATCAGCATCAGCGACGATCTCAACCCAGACGCCCCTGAACGCCTCCATGATCACGCCGTGGTGCTCCCGCGCGTTGAGCGACAGGTAGCACTCGAGCAGCTCCAGCAAATCCTCCGGCGACCGCATCCCGTTCCCGACCACCATCTCCACCATGCTCTCCCGGAAGTCCCTCGCCGGCTCCGCCGACGCCTTCACCACCGCGAACCCACCGCCGCCGCTCCTCCGGCGACCACTACCAGCCCTACACTCGCAGCCGCCGAGAACGTGCAGCCTCCTGCTCCTCATCCTCGGCGAGCTCGGGCACGTGCCGCTCCCGCTCGCCGTCCTCCTCGGCTCGGCCGACGCCGCCGCCGCCGACGGTGGCCTCGTGCGTATAGGACGTAGCTGCAAGTCTTGAAACTCGCCGTCGTGGTGGTCTCCGGGAATGGCTGTGGCGGGGATTCTTTGGTGGAGAGGGGAGTGGGAGATGAGCTGAGATTCCTTCTCCATCAGTGGCATCTGCTTGGCTCGTTCCAGGTAGGGGTAGTAGGATCGTCGCGGCGGTGACAACGGGAGAGGCTTGGGAGTGGTGGTTCCATGTCCATGGAGGTAGTAGTGGTGGATGCTGCTTGACGACGACGACGATCTCCTGGAGCTTCTTGCTGCATGATCTGCTGCGGTGATCATCCGGCTTGATGTTGGCCTGGGCCTCTTCATGTCCCTCAGCTTGTAGAACCATGAGTTTGGCATGAGATGGGACAGCCTGAACCTCTCATGGCTGCTCATCTCTCAGTCTCTCACTCACACACTCTTTCTAAGCCTTGTGGTGTGCAGCTAGCTAGCTACCATGGAGCATTGCAATGGAGGAGTGCCTCTCTTTGTAAGGTGTTGGCAATGGCAAATTGGCAAGTGGGTGAGTATAGCAGAAGAATTTCTGAGCTGATGAACAATGATGAAATGGTGAGTTGCTCTGAAACACTCTGCAGATTGTGACACCAAGAAAGGACCCAATTAAGCCTGTACCGGCCTCAGCATCATCATCATAGCAATTGTACTAATGTAGTTGCGGTTGCAATGATCAGGGCAAATTTCTTTAGCATTTAAGAAATACAAATGGTACACACATGGAAAACAGCACAAAGGTTTTTTACTTGTCAAAGTTGCCCAGATAAATCAAGTTAATTTGGGCCAAATTGTATATGCATTGCCTTGATTGTTGTATGTACAAAGGGAAAGAAAGCGATATGATTGTTTAGACTTTAGAAACTTATGCATTGGTTGTGTTCTGGGCTCGCGAACTTGTACGGTGCTAAAGAATAGTGCCAGGTTTGCACTTTCGTTATGTTAAACCTATCTCTACTACTCTGTCCTACTCATTACCCTGCCTTTTTTAGAGCACCCTTATGATCTCATGGGTCTTTTCCTTTTAAAACCTAGCTACAACTTTACAGCAAAGTTGGGGAATATTCCGCTCCTTTCGAACTACCACGCATAGTGAAATTTCCCTTTATTGATAGGGAACATTGCTGATATCACTCCATGAAACTATGGGAATTAATATCATTAACTAATGTCATAGGCAGAGTGTGCATATTGTTCTCCCGCGAAAGAAAAAAAATGCGCTTGGTATACCTATATCCAACACCTGGATATTTTTAACTTTTTAGTATCTTTACTATTATAAAAGTTGAGTCGTCGTACTTCCATCTCTTCTCACTGCTCATGCAACCTGTTTGTATGCTGCTTCCCACATATATAGTGTGCGCAATAATTGCATGATCCAGTGCTTTATTCTCAATTCACCCTCCAGTCCATTCCTAATCGACTCAATTATATGGGTCTAGTCCGTTACAATGTATGGATATGTTAATAATATTTTAGAAAATGAACATAAATTTGATTTATGTCCGTAAATTTTTGCCTTTAATTAATTTTAGTCACTAGCACAGATATAAATGGAGGGGCGATGGTTTGTTAAAGATGTTCTCTCAGCTGTCTGTCTGGATGTCCCATCATCTGCCTCGCGTAACAAACAGTAAGGTGCATCCATCCGGGTATTTCGTTAAGTACAGGAAGGTGCATGAACTGGCTAGTGCAAGCTCTATTGCGCTAGCTCCAGGACTCCAGCAAAGATTATGCTATGCCTACCTGGATAGGGCTAGCTATATCTCCACTCTACTTTGCATCAGACTTTAATAGTGTTGCCTCTTTTGATGTTCAAAACAATAATTGGCAAGACAAGTTCTCAACTCAGGGAGTACTATGATCTGAAAAAAAGAGAAATTGCACCATGAAGCTGTTGTTGTGCAGCTGCATAAAGCTGGCAGTGTTGTCAATTTTGTGATGCCCAACATGCAAGGATTGAATGGGGGAACAAGGAAACGATACAATTTTTATTAGTCTTATAGAAACGGTTCTACATTTATGAATTTAACTATATATTTAGTAGCAACTTCAATATGACACATACAAACATTAGAAAACTAAATTTTACAGTCAGAAACAATCAAAAATGATATCGATTTTTTTTAATGAAAACGGCATCGGTATGGTCAAAAAAATTTCCGTACCATTTTCATCCATACACCTGGTCTAAAAATTAGAGGCAATAGAGCATCTTGAGCCCGTGGGCAGTTACAGGTTGTGAGTCAAAGGTGAGATCCAATATACAAGGGCATGTGTCATATATAAGACACCAATAACTTCTGCCTTGGCCCAAGTAGATAGTCCCACGAGTGACACCAACAAGTCTTTCCTTGTGACACTAGTCTATAAATTGCTTTACACTTTAGCTAGACAAGCTAGCCCATTTGGACATGGATAGCCCGACAACAGCTAACAAATTAGCTATTGGAAGTCTAAAACTCAAGCTATTTGATTCAAGTCTAGACTGACGTCGTCTTGTTTCAACATGTGATAAAGTGAAACACAGTCATGGAAGTAGCTAGGTTTGTATTTCCTTACACGTCGGAGCCCCCAATTCCATATCCAATTTGTATCTTTATTTTTTTTTATCTTTTTTAAGAAAGTTCACCGGGGGGAGAACTGCCTCACCTGTATTTTCATTGCAAGGGAGGTAAAGTTCAGGTTTCATTACAAATCAAGAGATCAAAGGGAGGAAGAGATGATTTCTTTCCAAGCTGAAAAAGCATTCATATCCTCCACGATTAGCCGCTCAGTCCAAAGAGTAGCGTCGTCGATGCACCTCACGATCAACCTGCGTAGATATGTTATTTTTCCACGGAGTACCACATCATGTCGATGGTTCCAAAGGCCCCAAAAGCATAGAAGGAAGAAGACCCAGTAGTGTTTGATCGGAATTTGCAGTGGGAGCAGCAAATCCGCCATGTTCTTGACAGTCAAAATGTTGATCTGAACACTGATCAGTCTACAGAGAGCAATTGTAAAGGGGCACTGGATACATAATGTGTTAAACTGTCTCATCTGCCCCATTGCAAAGGTCACATAGTGGCAATTGTACTATTTTCTTCTTGTTGAGGTTTAGCTTGGTAGGGAGTCTTTCCTTGGCTAGGAGCCATGCGAAGAGCTGCACTTTCGAAGGTGCTTTATTCTCCCAAATGAACTTCCAGTTGTTGCACAGCTGCACAGGTCTATGTCATCGCACACGGCGTAGTAAATTTGTTTGGTCTGCAGCAGACCTGTTGCTCCATTCATGTCCCTGATATCTAATTGTGATGTCAAGATCTGATCTTGGAGTAAAAGCCCTAGTTGGAGCAACTGATCTTCAGCCATCATCGAGAGCCTTGACACAAATTGATTTCTCAACTTCCTAGACATCGCCTGCTACACTGAAAGCATGTTTGTCCACAGAGTGCGAGTAGAGGGGCCATAATTTTCAGCCATGGTGTTCTCCCGGTACCAAAGATCATGCCAAAAAGAAGTGTGCCTAACATCTCCCACCTTAATTGTCGTAAGATTCTGCAGGTCAGGGAGAAATGCTACTAGGGAATCCCAGTGTACTCCGAGCTGACTGTCCCAGAAGAAGGATGCATTTTTGTGTTCATTCCAAATCCAGCGTGCCCAGAAAGATTTCAGTAGAATGGATAAGCGAGTATTTTAGTCCCACCTATCCGTTGAGTTGGGCACTTGATCAATTTCTCTAATATGAAGTACTTTGCTTTGGTTTGGCACTATTTCTATATATTTTGTGCCCTCGAGGGATGTTCTTTGTTATGGTGCATAGCAGGCTGGGTGCTGCTAACCATCAGAATACGTGGAGAAGGCTTCTAGTTCATTTATTGGAGTTACAACTTCTTGAGATCTTTTGATTCCAAAGAAGTTGCAGCTGCTAAAAGTTTCATCAAACAAGCCCCTAATCTCCTTCCACAGTGTAAGGTTCACCCTTAAAAAAATAGTGATGTTGCTATATACACATGTTTATGTAGCACTAATTTTAATGTAGTGCTTTACAATTTAATTTACCAATTAGACAAATGGTATTGATACGATGAAACGATTTTTTAAAAGAAAACTTAATTTCTCATTTATTTTTTTTACTGTCGATATGCATTAATGGTTCACTTGAAGACATGATTGTTGATGAGAGTTGACAGTGACACCATTGACCTAAAACTCTTCATCCGTCTCCTCCATCCTTAAATAAACAAATATATGCAATTTTAATTATACAGTACTAGGGAAGTGTGGTGATGCCAGTAGCCAGACGCACAGGGAGAGACGACAGCCAGGATCAACATCAGAGCAAAAGAGTGTGACAGAGGAGGATGGAAAGTGAGGCCCCGTTCGTTTCTTATGTAGAGGCAGGATGAAATTTTAGATTCTCGTGGCATGCTTTTCAAACTATTAAACGATACATTCCGTGCGAAAACTTTCTATATGAAAGTTGCTCTAAAATATCATATTAATCCATTTTTCAAGTTTGTAATAATTAAAACTCAATTAATCACACGTTATTACCACCTTGTTTTACGTGAAATACTTAATCTTTATCTTCATCTTCAGAAGATTTAAAGGGAATGCTAGGGATAACTTTGTCATTCGCCTCTAAAATGTAATCAATAAAAATGATTAATAATGGTAAATACTAAGGCGAAATAACAGATGTGGTATAGATGTGATAATTTGGGTGCTCCTTATGGTACAACAAGGAAGTGCTAACTTTTTATTTTGGCGTTAGTTGGAATAATAATAATTGATAGTTGTCCTGTCGGTTTAGTTTAATAAAATGGTTAGATTAATATAGGTGGACAGCACTGCAATTAGTATTGCCTCTAGGTTAGTAATAATTATCATTTTAGATAAGGATATGGTTTTAAAAAGACAACTTTGATAACTACTTTTTATAACATATATAGAAATATCAACAAATATATAATTGTATCAAAATATTTTAACACTAATTTATGTATATGGTTCCCATACTTTTATGACAAATATTTTAGAAATTATTTATAGTAAAAAAATTAAAATTTAACATCAATTTTGTCCAAAATACAAATATTATTAACATAAAGGGAGTACTCTATAATAAGATAAGTGCAAGTTAATTAATCACTCCTGTTGCAAATTGACCAAACAAGTAAGGTGGTGTTTGGATCCAGAGATTTAACTTTAATCTCTGTATTTAGACATTAATTTAGAGTGTTAAATATAGACTACTTACAAAACTAATTATATAAATGAAAGCTAATTTGCCAGACAAATTTTTTAAGCCTAATTAATCTATAATTAGAGAATGTTTACTGTAGCATCACATAGGCTAATCATGAATTAATTAGGCTCAATAGATTCGTCTCGTGAATTAGTCCAAGATTATGGATGGGTTTTATTAATAGTCTACGTTTAATATTTATAATTAGTGTCCAAACATCCGATGTGACCGGGACTTAAAAGTTTTAGTCCCATCTAAATAGGGTCTAAGACTACTTGATTGGAGGTTGCGAATGAAGTCAAGTTTTCCAAAAACATTTCAAATTTTGCTAATTGTACTCTTCCATTTTCAAAACAGAGGAGGGGACAGGGGAGGTAGGTGCGCTGCTAACATCTTGAGCGAGAGCACTCCCTGGTGCCGCCGGCAGAGCTTCCTAACGTCACATAGGGTGTGTTTAGTTCACGCTAAAATTAGTAGTTTGATTGAAATTGGAACGATGTGACGAAAAAGTTGGAAGTTTGCGTGTGTAGGAAAATTTTGATGTGATGAAAAAGTTGGAAGTTTAAAAAAAAAATGGGAACTAAACCAGGCCATACTTGCATCCTTTGTCTGCTGGGCTGCCTGCAGTGTTCCAGCGAAAAAGATTGAACCATGTAGAATTGATGACTCGACTGGCCCATCCGACGTACTCCCTCCTTTTCAAATTATTTATTGTTCTAACTACATTCAAACAAAATATAAAGCTTAAAAGCTATAGTAAATTACCGAGGTATCTCTATTAAGAACTGTTGAATGAGATTAAGTTATAGTAGCATGCAAAACAAAAAAAAAGTCATAAGTGCATGATTGATTGAGTTTTAATTATTACAACTTTAAAAATAAATTTATTTGATATTTTAAAGTAACTTCTAATAAAAGATTTTAGCACGAAACACACTGTTTAACAATTTAAAATATGTGTTAATGAAAATCAAGATAAAAATATGCATTTTACTTATAAAAGAACGCAGCCTAACTACATAAGTATAATAGTACTTTCTTCGGCTAAGGGTATGGATTATAGTGAGGTGTGGATATTTTGACAAAATGACAAGGGGTAGTGAGGAAAGATTTTAATCAAAAGTGTTTTGGAATGTGACAGTGATGATTATTTCAAAACAACATTAAACATTATAATAATAAGTATTTTAATATATAGAGAATAGTATTAGCTGTAGCTCCTCTTTAAAGAAAAAAGAGAGCTGTAGCTCCTATACAAGACAGGGCTTGAACTTATCCTCTCTCTGTCGGTGAGCGGTCACAGGCGAGGGGAAGGGAGGGGGGGGGGTTCCGGTGAGCCGTTGGGTTTATCCTGTACTTAGATTTATCATGTTGTAAATCGAGTATCTTGTACTAGGTTTTCTTCTTCCCATTTCTTGAATAGCTCAATGAAGATGCCAACATCCATCTTTTTCGTCTTGGCTGCCTGCTTCCATAGATGGCTTGAGCTCCAAATCGAGAGCTTGCTCTGGCTTGCGCCATCCAAAAGGACACTACCAGGTTCTTCACTGGTTTTGGGTCAACACATAGCATATATGTCCTTTGGTTGGAGGTCATCTTCCCCCACAGTGACGAGGTGTCGCTAGCCGTTCAAATCATCTTCGGTGAGTTTGCTATTGTCGATTTGGTGTACTTCCTTGTCTCTGGCGGTGCATTTTTCTAGGTTAGACTGATCTCTTTTTTATCGTGTTCACTTCAACCACCACTTGTGAGAGGCCCCTGTTGGGTTTGTGGCACGATGGTATCTTCTGCAGTCAACCTCCTCGTTGTCATCACCGTCAGCTTCATCGTCTTGGTCATCGGATTGGAAGAAGTGAAGCAAGGACTAGATTGCTTTTCGATTTTCTTTTGGAGTTCTTTCTTTGCTTATTTTCAGAACATCAGTGTAACTTGTTTATTTTTGAGGGGTCTTTCAACAATTATGTTGTATGTGAATCTACCTGTTCTAGTGTAGGCAAATTAAGATCTCTATCTTTGATATGTGACGTTCACTTATGTACGTTGTATGTAACCTCCTATATTAAATAAATGATGAGTTTTTTTAAAAATAAAAGAAGAAGCTCCCACACAGAAGGAGCCAAGGTCTAAAGGAGCCATCAACACTAGGCGAACAATTCAACGAACAGATGAGATCAAAGGCGAACAGCCTCCTTCCTTTTCATCTCTCCTCCCCAAATTCAACTCCATTTTAGTCTGAAATTAAATCTTCCGAATTCTTCCTCTCTGATCGCCTCCAATCCTCCATACGTACCCTCTCTCAACCTCTGCAAACTACATGATTCTCACCGGCATATGGCTCAAGCCCACACGATCGACTTGTGCTCTTGATAGTTGATACTGCTTGCCAGTTCGAGACATAAATAATGTACACAATTGGATATTTTAATAACAGATTCACAGGTACAGACAGAGACAAAAAATTCATGGCACGGTGAACACTGGCACGTACGTATATTTACTGTGATCTTCTCATTAAACGTAAACCCTCTTTTATATAACGGTGTCACAGCAAAATATACTATGACAATTGACAAACAAAAGAATATGTATAACAGTATATATATCGTATATATACACCCTGCCCTATGACTATGAGTATGTGTATTCTACCAATTTTCTATATATTTTGTACATCACGAAAAAAAAAATAAAGAAAGAAATTAAGAAAAAGGCTGGTATCCGTGGCATCTATGATTTATGAATTGAACCAGCAGATCTCCCTCTGCACCTCGATCTCCAATCGGGCGCTTTTCCATGGCTTCCATTCCTCAGTTGCCGTCGCCGTTGGTGCCGCCGCTGGGGCCGGACGGCGTCACGGGGCCCCTCGGCAGCATGGAGAGCAGAAGCGGCGCGTACTTGTCGACGACGCCGGACGCGTAGTGGCCCTCCCCGTCGATGCTAGGCGCGTTCCAGCCGGCCGGCCGGAGCGGCCGCGCCGCGGACGCCGGCTGCGGTCCGGCGACCAGGAAGACCACCATGAGCGCCACGAGCCACATGGCGACGGCACGGCTCCGGCTGCTGCTGCTCCGGGATGCCATAGTTTCGCCTGCGACGACGACGACGACGACGACGACCAAGAAAACGAAGACGATCGAGAGGAAGCTTGCGTGAGGAGGAGGAGGAGGAGGAGTTCGAGCAGATGGTTTGGTTGGGTGGAGATGGCGCGCGTTGGCTCATATATATATAGCGGTGGTGGTGGTGGCGAGTGTGGTGTGTGGAGTAGTGGAGAGGGTCAAAGGAGGAGGCTGAGGTGGAAGGGGGTCGGAATGTTCTCACGTATTGACTTGTTAACGATATCATCATCATGTGATCGATGGCTATCTCTGTGGACTTATGGACTATGGACTTGTGGACTGTAGACTTTGGTTGCTTGCTTGAGGATGTTGTAGTATACTGGAGGGAGTATTATATTTCTGCATGCATGAGTTCGTTGAGTCTGGGCCAATTGGGACATGTGTGGGGATTTTTGTAGCAGCCTCCTTCCATTTCGGGATTATTTGCTCAGAAAGAGCGTGCCTAACTTTCGGAGGAAAACAAGATAACCGTGCTGTCTCCCCCCACAAAAAAGAAGTTAATTGGAGGCTTTAACAGCAAAACACACTCGCGTCTTCTACTAGTGTTTGACTACCGGCCGGGGGTCCCACGTGTAGGAGTCGGTGGGCACGCAAGCAAAAAGGTCAAGGGAAGCAGGTGGACGACTGGACGTGCGAGACGAGAGAAGAGCCGCGCACACTGGAAGTCACCGGTGTACAAACGTATCGCGTTCCACGCGTTGGTCCAAATTAGCCGGTGGAAAAGGCGCGGGGCCGGCCGCCACACTCCGGCCGGCTGAGCCGCACCGCCCGCGCGCGCGCTCGCTGCGTACACGTCTCCGCTACCGCGCGGGGAGCTAGCGGCTGCCTGCCAATTGGCCGGCCCGCGCGCGCGCAGCCGCGCACGATCGTGCCCCGGGTGCGCGCACGCCGCACGGTTGGGAAATCGTGAAATCGTTGGCTCGATCGAACTGGAAAGGAGGGGAATGGGGCCGTGGCGTGTGTGTACGCGTGACCGTGTCCGTTTTTATCTGTGCAACTGAACAAAAGGAGGGAATGCGCGCGGCACCGGCAACCTCTGAATGGGCAGACACAGGCTACTATCTCTAGGTAGCTCGAAGGATTGACGCGGTATTTTCGCGGTTCGTTGACGATCGGGGTACGGCGAGCCGAAAGGGTGGTTCGGAGTTAACGCGGGCACCGGTCGATCACCTGTGGTGGCCAGGTAGGATAACAAAAGACGGTCAGCGACTCAGCGTGGTGTGAAGTGGTACGGAAGGAGACGACGTCGGACAGCTCGTGGGCAGCCTGGACCCACCGAGCGGGTTTGCCATTGACCTTTTGGCCCAAAAGAACAGCCCGATGGCTAAAAAAGGGCCCAATAACTACAATTAGTAAAATATTAAACAATTACATAGTTTTAAACTAAAATAACAGCAGAATTTAGTTCATTAACCGGTATATATCTAGTACTAAGTTTAATGAAGCAGCTGGAACGCGCGAGGCGAGACAGCGCACACTGGACGGCCGGCCCCGCCGAACGTACGCGTTCTACCGTCCAAAGCCGGTGGAAAAGGCAGCAGATCTTCGTGGGGTCCTCGGTTCGCGCGGCGGCCGATCGAGTACTCGCTGCGTGCGTCTCCGCTCGCGTGGCAGGGGGGCACTGGCTGACTGCCAATTGGGCAAAGGAATATGAACAAAATCTTCGACTTGCCCGACCTGTTCGTCTCTCATCCAGAGGAATATGAACAAGATCTTCACGAGTCATCTGGTGCAGCATCTGCGAATCGCCGGTGTTGTCTGATTTACAGAGGGAATTGATGAGGTGCTTAGCTGAATCGACTTCACCAAAGCCGGTAGGCTCGTGTCCTGAAGATAGCAAAAGATAAGCGTTGAAGATACCAACATGCGAGCACTAGCAGCTGCAAAACAGAGCTAGCAGTTCTCCATTACTCCTGTAATACTAGGATATTTACATTTGAAAACTAGAAAACACGCGGGTGGGTCGGGGCGAAACCCTAGCTATCCCCACCGCCACCCTCACCCTTCTCCCCACCTCGCCACCGCTAGAGCTCGTCGCCTAGAAAACTGAGTGGCAAGTCGGGATGGCAGTGGCAGGGCTAAAAACCGACGACCCTTTGTCTCTGGCGCGGGAGGGACGATGTGGAGCTTACGAAGCCGCCAGCGAGCTCCGGCATGGTGTCGGTGGATTTGGCACCGCCTCGATCAGATCCGATGCCCGTGCGGCTAGATCTGGCATCCCCGCCCGGATCTGATCGGGGTCGAGCATTCGGTGCAGCGTGAAAGCTCGTAGATGTCACCTAGTGAGAGGTGAATAGGCGTTTTTGAAAAATACTAAAAACAATCGTAGAAGTTAATTTCAATAGGGTCTGTAACTTACTGGCAGCTCAGGTAACCAGGAACTTCTAGGGTTATTGACAAAGAACTTCCGGTGTTCAAGCAAATTTGAATGACAACTTCAAATCTGATGGAATTTTAGGCCTATCCAATCAACATGATACATACTAAACCATGTAGGGTATTGAAAAGCACAAGGGCAAGCACATAACATTCACAAAGTAGGCAAGATAATTTTTTCCCGAAGTTCATATTACACGGAGAATAGGATCCGTGTAATCTAAGCAACGGCACGGCATGATCAAAGAAAAATAGTTGAGGGACCAAAAAATAGACTTAATGCAGCCTTATAAGACATTGTCCAAAGAAATGAGGGATACAAAATAGACTTGTTGCAGCCATATAAGACACGGAATAAGTCCACTTTGACTCCCTTAAAAGTGACGTGAATCTAATCCATAACCCTAAATCGTAAAACTAGATATCTTAACCTCTAAACTCTTAAAATCGGTACAATTTGACTCCCTCGGCGGTTTTGGTGAGCAGTTTTGCTGACGTGGCACGTTACATGGCGATGTTGACTTGGTCTTCGTCCTACATGGTGTTGACGTGACGCGGCGCGTGGTGTCATTAGAATTAAAAAAAATATGTTGAGCCCATTTGTCATTAAAAAAAAATTGTAGGACCCACTTCTTTCTCCCTTCTTCATCCTCCCCTTCTCTCTCCCTCCCCATTCGGCAAGCTGGGGTCGCCGGCGGCAGCGGCGGCGACAACGGCGGCGGCGTCCATAGTGGCGGCAGCGGGCGGCGATGGCTGCGGGAAAAGCATGAAGGTCACCGCCGCACCTAAGGGGCAGTGGGAGCGGCGGCTGCAGACGGACATCCACACGGCGCGGCAGGCGCTGCGCGACGCGCTCTCGCTCGACCTCGACCCCTCTCCGACGGCCAAAACGGAGCCCGCGTGCGCGGCGCCGGGGCGACGACATCAGGCTCGGCGGCGGCGTACGCGTCGAGCGCGGACAACATCACGCGTCTGCTGCAGGGCTTGATGCGGCCGGGCGGCGGCGACGGCGTCAAGGGCCCCGAGGCGTCGGGGTCGACCTCCACGATGGCGACGACGCAGCATCAGCCACAGTGCTCCGGCTAGGGCGCGGCGTCCGCGTCGGCGAGCCAGAGCGGTGGTGGCGCCGCCAGGCTGGGTGTTCTTGCTTACGGCAAGGCAGGTGCATTGCAATGTGGTCAAAGAGCGGGTTCAGTTCCAGTGCCTTCTGCGAAGCGGCGTTGGTGGACATGTATGCCAAATGTGGTGATGTGCCCAATGCTCGCAAGGTGCTTGATGGGATTACTTGCCCAGACACAATATGCTCATCAAGCATGGTTGCTTGCTATCATCGAGTTGGACGCTACCAGGAAGCGTTGGCTTTGTTTTCTAGGATGGATAAGATGGGCTCTGCTACGGATCAAGTGAGCAAGATGGCCACCGGCGGCGCCGGGCCCGCGCCGGCGTTCTCGATGCTGGAGAGCTGACTGCTCGACGACGACGGCATGGGGCACGGCGAGCTGGGGCTCATGAACAAAAAAGGGAGTGAGAGATAAGGGAGAGAGAGGGGGAGGTCGGGAGGATGAGGAAGTGATATACTGACATGTGGGGCCCCACCGGTTAGTGGGTCCCATAATTTTTTTTTGTGTGAATGACAAGTGGGCCCATATATTTTTTAAATTTTAATGACACGTAAATGCCACGTCAATGCCACGTAGGACGAAGACCAGGTCAACATCACCACGTGGTGCTCCACGTCAGCGAAACTGCTCACCAAAACCGCCGAGGGAGTTAAATTGTACCAGTTTTAACAGTTTAGGGGTCAAGATATCTGATTTTGTGGTTCAGGGTCATGCATTAGATTTGGGTCACTTTTAAGAGAGTTAAAGTGGACTTATTCCAAAGAGATAAGGGAGATGAATTAGACTTATTTATAGAGAAGCACAATGGGCTGTTGTGCCTTCGGGCCGGCCCGGCACGGCCCGATACTTATTGGGCCGTGCATGGACCATGGCTGCAGCCTGTGGGCAGACACAGCAGGAAAAAGTACACCGAAGGTCCCTCAACTTGTCATCGAGTTACGAAATCGTCCTTGAACCGCAAAACCGGATATATATCATCCCTCAATTTACAAAACCGGATCACTTTGGGTCCTTAGGCGGTTTTTACCCCGGTTTTGTCCGACGTGGCAGCTGAGTAAGCGTGGGCCTGCATGGGTCCCACATGTCAAGGTGACACGTCATCACCTCTCTTTTCCCCTCTTCTCTTTCTTCCTACTCTCTCTCAGTCTTCTCTAGACCGGCAAGGCGAGGCGTGGCGGGGCGCGTCGAGGCCGGCCGGAGCAGCAGGAGATGCCCGGGGTGCTCAGCGTCTTCAGGGAGCTCAACCCCAATGAGATGCTGGCCAGGAACACACCCAAAGTACATAGCTGCATCCATTAATTGTTGTTGCTGTTACTAGATAATGAGGAGGATGATGGGATTAATGGAGTTTGTGAGGTGCAGTTAGAGGTGGAAAGGAAGGAGGGGGGCAACACGCGGGTGGAGATCTACTGCGCGGGGAAGCTAGGGCTGCTGCTATCGACGGTGAGCACGCTGGAGACGTTGGGAAGTGGTATAGATGGCCAAAAGGCCCGAGGCCCGACGGCACGGCGTTTTGGCCCGGCCCAAGCACGGCACGGCCCGTCAGGGGTCGGGCCCGTACCGGCCCGGCCCGACCACCGGGCCGTGCCTGGGCCTCTCCACCGGCACGGCACGATGGGCCACAGGCCAGGCCCGAGACATAAACAATGAGGAGTAAAAATAGACATATTGTATGCCACGGTCGAAAGAATAGGGATGTAAAATAGACTTATTTTAGCTATATATATGTCAGCCCAAAGAGGAGGGATGGAAAATAGACTTATTTTCACTATATATATGTCACAGCCCAAAGAGGAGGGACAGAAAATAAACTTATTTTCGCTATATATATGTCACAGCCCAAAGAGGAGGGACAAAAAATAGACTTATTTAGAAAATGGCACGATGGGCCACTCGCGCCTTCGGGCCGGCCCGACACGGCCCGATGGCTGGTGGGCCGTGCTTGGGCGGGAGGCGCAGCCCATGGGCCGGCATGAAGTGCCGATCGGGCCGTGCTGGCCCGATGGCTGGTGGGCCGTGCCTGGGCCGGGCCGGGCCATGCGGGCCTTTTGGCCATCTATAGGAAGTGGTGGTAGCAGCAGCAGATCAAGCAGAAAGAGAGAGAGAGATTCAGAGTTCAGTGTTGTTGAGTAGGGCAGGAAAGGAAAAGTTCAGACCCGACGACGACGACGCGCTAGGGTGACCACCGGGAATTACTGGATGGGCTTCTTCCTCACCCTCGGCGTCGCCACTCTGTACGCACGGACTCATCCTATCGCTTGTCGAGCTCGCCTACAAGCACGCCGTCGGCGGCGGCCGCACCGTCACGTATGCGCTAGTGATGGAGATGTAGCTAGTCATGGGCTTCTTCGCCACCGCGTTCTGCACCGTTGGCATGGTCATGTGCTCGGAGAGGAGAAGGTCCGGCGGCTGGCTTGCCCGCCGCCGCTCTGCTCCACTTCACCTGCCGCCGCGCGCTCGCGGCCCTGCTCCAGCCGCTTGCTCACCGCCGCTCCGCTCCACTGGCCGCGCGCTCGCCTGCCGCTGCCGACACTCTGCTCCACCGCCCGCCCGCCCGCTGCACGCTCGCGGCCGCTCCGCTCCCCTTCGTCGGCCGTCGCGTGCTCACCCGCCTTCTCGGGTCGTCTTCATCGACCTCCTACGCCCCGTCACGGCGCAGGCGAAGGCGGCGCCGCCGCGGCCGGCCGTGGATGACGTCGTTGCTGCCCTTACCACTGCTGCTTTGCCCGTCGCCGCCCGCCGACGCCTGCGCAGAGAGGTGAGAGAGAGAGAGGGGGAAGGGAGAGAAGAGGGAAAGAGAGAGGGGGTGACATGGACACCCTGACATTGGGGCCAACATGGGTCCCACGCTAACTCAGCTGCCACGTCAGATAAAATCGAGATGAAAACCACCTAAGAATCTAAAGTGAACGGTTTTGTAAGTTGAGGGATATCATATATCCGGTTTTGCGGTTCGAGGACGATTTCGTAACTTGATCACAAGTTGAGGGACCTTCGGTGTACTTTTTCCGACACAGCACGCCCGACTGACCTCGGCCAGGCCCGGTCGTGCCTGGGTCGTGGCGGGCTGGGCGGCCCATTTGGGCATCTATAATGATACGTATAAAAGTACTGTATGCGCACGATCCTCCTTTCTTCTATCAAATCCTCCAGCCTGAAACCCCCTAATCCCCTCCCGCGCGCCAAACCCTAGCAATCTTGATCCGTCCCTTTCCGCGAGACCCTTCCGCCGCCATGGCCGCTGCAGACGCCGTGGCACCCGACAACGGCGATCACGCCGTCCTCCGCGACGACGAGCGCGGGATCCCTCGATCCCTTTCCCTCCTCGCCGCGCTCGTGGAGGCCGAAGCCCTCCGCCACGCCGCCGCCGCCGACGCCGACGCCGACTCCGACCTCATCCGCGCCTTCCGCGGCGGCACGACGCCCATCGTCCGGATCGGTGTGTTCCTGGAGCGCATCCACACCTTCATCCAGCGGGAGAGCGTCCGCCACGTGATCGAGATCCAGGACGCGTGCTACGTGCTCGCCGGGATCTACCTGTTCCGGTTCATACGCAGCGGCGCCGCGCGGGAGGCGGGGATCCTCGTCGATCCTTCCACCGCGCACCGCCTCGTCGCCGTCGCGATCTTCGTGGGCGCCAAGTTTGGTGGGCCCATCGACAGGCTCCCGACGAGGTGGACTGTGGTGTTCGAGACCAGCTCGGATGCGGCGATCCGCGCGAGGGAGATGGCCGGCCTCGAACGGCGCTTCCTCATTGCCATCGATTACCGCCTGTTCGTCCGTGCTGACGAGTTCGACTGGTTCTGCCGTGTCCTGGAGCGAGGGCCACGTCCAAGCGGGAGATGCGGCGGCGGCGGTGGTGGCAGGAAGAGGACGGCGGCGGAAGCTGTGGAGGGAGAAGCGGAGGACGACCACCGCCGCGTCCGGGCCTCCCTGCCGCCGCCATCTGTCGTCGCCAACTAGGTCCACGATTTATGCATCCACAGGTTCAATTATATTTACTTAATGTATTTTCTTTTGCTGCTTCTTGTCTATCAGTTGTTTGCAGGTGGCTAGGGTGGAGAAGATGCAGTTGGCGTTGGAAGAGTTCGATCAGACTAGGCAAGGGTGGAGAAGATGCAGCCGGCGTTGGAAGAGTTCGATCAGCGGCCATCGTCGGAGTAGAGTGAAAAAAAAAACCAGTTTTAATCGTAGGATGTTTAGCAACTGTTAACTCTTGTCAAATTCTATCAATCCTTGTGTCTTGGATTTCCATCTTATTGGAAGTAGATAAAGAAATGTTAATGAAGTCCCTTTTTCTACCTTTCTGGTGTATGAAATCTATATCAATCTGGAAGTTAATAAAGAAGTCTTTTTCTGCCTTTGTGGTGTATGAAATATGTATCAATCTGGATTCTGAAGTGGAAGCCTCTGGTGTATGAAATTTGTATCAATCTAGAATTGAAACGTCTCTTGCTGTGGCTTTGCTCTCTTGCTGTGGCTTTGCGATGTGATGTGTTTGATGGAGCCTCTTGAGAATGAAACTCTACTTCTGTCATCATAAAAAATTTCTGATGATGCTTATTCCTCTTACTGGTTGATGCCTGAAGCAATGAATGAATACGAACCAGAGGAATGTGAACGAATCTTCAGGGGCGCCGGCGTTATCTGGTTTTGAATTTCTAGACAACATTGATAATGCGCTGAGCTGCATCGACACAAGCTGTTTTGATCTGTCTGTCCGCAGGTTAAGTGTCCAGAAGATAGCAAGATATCAGCACTGAACATTGTGCTTTGCAGCAGTCTATAGTGGCAGACTAGCAGTGCACAAGCGAGATATGGTACTATACTTTTGTCCTGGAATGGCCGGTTGATTAGTTGAATTGATTGTAATTAAGCGTATGTAAAATATGTGATTTATTATCTGAGATTGCTGTTGATTGGTTAGATTCAATGTAACTAGCACTATTGTAAGCTTATGTTATCTGTACTGAAAGCTAATAAATACTGTTACACTGAAATCTTATATTCCTTGGAATGGCCGGTTGATTAGTTGAATTGCATGTAATTAAGCGTATGTAAAACATATGATTTATTATCTGAGATTACTGTTGATTGGTTGGATTGAATGCAACTGGCACTATTGTAAGCTTATATTATCTGTACCGAATGCTCATAAATACTGTTACACTGAAATCTTATATTCCTGTTCAACGAATACATTCCCTATTCGATTCATTGCTTTTGTCAAACTTCTTGAGTCGTACACATTCAATGAAAAATTTTCTTTCGTTCAATGAAGTGCTAACTCTCTATGATTGGAAAGTCACAAATATCCCAAAACTAATCGCAAGAGAACAGAGTACAGTTGTTAATACTGATATGGTACTAGTTAGTTCAGTGGCCCAGTGTCCTGATAGCACAACATTGCGCTATTTGAATTGAAAATGAGGGACTCTAGCATATTATGATCCTTCAGGTTTACTTAACATGGATATAATTCTTCAAGATTCAAGATTTGATAACAGGGTCCAATCAGAGCACTTTCAGACTTCCAGTGTTGCCATGAGCAATGCTTATAAGCGTGCACCCTTGTTACTGAATTATTCACTGAAGTGCTGACATACAACAGAAGGCTTATCATCAAATCATTTTAGACTTAATGGATGACACATCATATGAGCCCTGAAAATACAGAACAAAAATCACATCCTCTTACTTGCACTGAAGTTTCCAAATGCCACCTATAAGACGAATGCCACTTCACCCTGGCACTTTTTTTGCATCAAATTACAAAACAAACATGCTAACAGCTGAAAAACAGACCCGCAGTTTCCCCATTATTATGCAAGATAGTAGGATATGTACTGACAAGTACATCTTAGATTATATTTACATGTCTGTCCTGAAGACGAACAGAATGATTCCTTCAAAACTGATTCATTGCAAAAATGAAGTCAAGTGCACTTGCTGCTTGTTGCAACAGATATGAGCAGAAGTCCGGTGGTGGTGGATCCTAGGCAGGTGAACTCTCCAGTCTGCTTCTCTGGCCATAGTAGCTAAAAGAGTGGTGCTAAACTATTGGCAAGAGTGGAAACTGTTGCGGTTAAGAAATTGCCTCGTACCTCTTGCTACCAGCGCACTTGTTCCGTGTGACTTCCACCAAGTTTCATATCCCATTATGTATTACAAACTGAAGTAGTATTTACAATTGAACAAACATAAAAGCAAATTAAGAGTAAGCAAATCGACAGAAAAACGTTATTACTATATGAAAAAGCTGATCATCTCAAGCAGAAAAAAGTCATATCCTCACTGGCCATTAGTTCGATTCACTGACAAAACTGAGGTCATCGGATAGCTCATATAGAAAATATTTAAGCATTATAGCGCTTTCAGGTTCATGTCCACAGTTTAAAATTTTATTGTGAGAAAACAAAAAAATCCTAAGACTTCTTGGTTCATCAGATGTCCTTAAATCAAGAATTTTATTGTGAGAAAACAAAAAAAATCCTAAAACAAAAAAATTTAATGTTTCTCAGATTCCCCGCTATTTGTCAACATCAATAAAAATTTAAGAAAAAAATGTAATATGCCTGTTTGAGATTTCTTGGTTCGATTATGAATTGTAATCTCACGCATATACCATAAAATATATGATTAATGTATACAGTGATTACCGACAAGAACTACACACAATCTCTAGGCCATCTCTTCCTTGTCCTCTTGTTCATCAGATGTCCTAAAGTGAAATTGCTCAACCGGTACAGTGCTGGCAGCCTTCACTATGTTACGAAAATCTTTCTGAACTCTGAATTCTGATGAGTGTGAATGGTTTCAAATTTCTAAATTTTGTGTCCTACAGGTGCCTTCGGGCTTCACTCTATTACAAAAGTATTTCTGAACTTCTCTGAATTCTGATGGCTGAGTATTTCCATTTCAGAACAGGACGCGAGTAAAATCATTCAGAACTGTAGGGTAGCACTTCACTCTTGTTTATCTTCTCCGAACAGCCAGCACGGCACTCCAGGTCTGTCATGAAACGGCTGTTTTGCTTTGATCTGAGATATATAATTGAATTCTTTTTGGGACAATTCCGAGGGTAGGATAGGGCCTAATGGAGCCAAACGGTTGGATTCATCCCTTGTTGCTTCATTACAATAACCCTTATTTAAAGTGTTAACAGCATCATCACATTTAACAAGAAGTAAATTCTATTCATAATTTTAATCTTGCGCCTAAAAAGTAGAAGACAAATGATTAATAACAGTGATTACTGAAAAGAACTCCAGCAGCACGGTCTCTATGGCATGTCTTCCTTGTCCCCTCGGCAGTAAGATGTCCTACAAGTGAAATTACTCAACCAGTACAATGCCTGCAGACTTCACGGTGTTACAAAAAAATTTTCTGAACTTCTCTGAATCCTGATGAGTGATGACTCCTAATGTTTTCCATTTCTGAACTTTGGGGTCCTGACAAGTGTAAAACACCAGAAGGATGCTGACAATGTTGAGAAAAGGAAGCTATTTCCCCTAAGAACATCTTTGACATAATTTCGAAACTGAATGAACACACGATCAACATCAAATCTACATACTCTATTTTATTAAAACCATCTATTATACTATACTCTGTGTTGTATTTTTCACCATCAGTTACATGATTTTCAGAAGTAAACAATACTCATTTTCCATCCTTCAGTTACCCCAGTGTCCCCAGGCCTTAGGTTTATTCCCCTCCAAAACTTCAGAAGTTCAGCACATGTGTAAAATCTTTCAGAATTTCAGGAATTGGCACTTGGAGGCTGCGGAGAGCATTTTCAGATATCAGAATCATCATGGCCAAAGAATCATGAGCGATAATTCAATTTCTGCTCGAATTTCGAAATTAATCCGAACAAGTTCCAAAATCAAGTCATTTGCCGTTAAACCTGAACCATTGCTCGCGCGTGGTGGCAACGCAGTCTCACGCTGACGTCACCGCCTTCCATCAATTCAAATCCCGCCGCCTTACCAAGGGGATCCACGCGCACCGCTCTTTCTTTCGCTCCTCGTCTCCTCTCGCCCACGCTTCCTTCCCCCCAAAACCCTAGAAATCCTCAGGCGCCGCGCGCGATCCAGACAGCAATGGCGGCGGCGGATGGGCTCCTCCCGGGCCTCAAGTTCGATCCCAGCGACCACGACCTCGTCGGAAGGTACCTGCTCCGGCGCCTCCAGGGCCAGCCCCTCCCGCTCGACGGCGTCATCCTCGAGGCGGATCCCCTGAGCGCGCCGCCGTGGAAGCTTCTCGCGGATCACGGCCGCGGCGACGAGGCCTTCTTCTTCGCGGAGGCGCATGCCAAGAATGGGAAGGGGAAGCGGCAGAAGCGCACCGTTGAGGGCGGCGGATTCTGGCAGGGGCAGAACACGTGCGTCGACGGCGAGAGGCTTTGCGTCCCCGACGACGGCGACGGCAGCGGCGGCGGCGGCGGCGGCTTGGAGATCGCGTGGCGCAAGTACGTGCTCAGCTTCTTCGCGAACGGAGAGAGGGGCAGTTCGGGATGGGTGATGCACGAGTACGCGGTGACGGCGCCGGATGGCCTCGCCTCGTCCCAATTGCGGCTGTATCGCGTCCGATTCAGCGGCTACGGCAAGAAGCGCAAGAGGGAGCCCCAATGTCCGGGAGCCCACGGCGACGACGACGGCGAGCTACAATGCGCGCCGCCCCCGCGCTCCATGGCGGAGACGGCTCTGCTCGAGGAGCGTGGGCCACTGCCCCATCCCGTTCTTGGCCCTGCATCGGTGGTGGATCAGTGCACCGATCAGGGCTCATCCGGCGTGATCGACGATTCTTCGCTGGTGTTTCGTGATCTTCCCGACCTGATTGACCTGCCAGTTGCGGAGGAAGCAGATGCCAGCCATGGTGCAGAGACTGCTCTGCTCAACGAGCACCTGCCGCTGCCGCCGCCACAGTTGTTCGTTCCCCCTACTGCAGTGCCGCTGGACCTCGCCGATGACTCTAATGGCGCCGATCAGAACTCCTATGGCATGATGGGCGACGATCAGCTGCTGCTTCCTGACCTTCCCGGGACAATCAATGACGACATGCCAGACCTGTTCGTCTCCCAAGCAGAGGAAGCCAGTGCAGTGCCCGCGATCAGCTACCACTCGTCGGGCTTCATGGGCAACGAGGTTGCGGCATTGTCTGATTTTGAGTTGCCGGAGAGCTATTCCTCATCTGATGCCATGGACGGCGAGGCGCTGGCATTGTCGAATTACGAGTTTCCAGAGAGCTTCGAGGAGGATCTGAGCTGCATCGACTTCGCCACTGCCAACGCGAGCAGCCTCGGCTTCCCAATGGACGGATACCCCATGGACGAGCTGTTCGATGATATGCCTGACCAGGGCTCTTCCGGCGCGATGGACGATTCATCGGTGGTGTTCCGTGATCTTCCCGGCCTGATCAACCTGCCAGCCGCAGAGGAAGCAGATGCCATCGGCGATGCAGAGACTGCTCTGCTCAGGGATCTCGCCGATGACTCTAATGGCACCGATCGAAACTCCTATGGCGTGATGGGCGACGATCAGGATCGGCTGCTGCTTCCTGAAATTCCTCGGAGAATCGACATGCCCGACTTGTTCGTCTCTCAAGCAGAGGAAGCCGGTCTCGGTGGCGGTGCAGCGCTGGACTCCTCATCGGGCGCCATGGACGGCGAGGCGCTGGCATTGTCCGACTTTGAGTTTCCCGAGAGCGTCGAGGAGGTGCTGAGCTGCATGGACTTCAGCACGGTCGACATGAGCTTCTTGGACGTCCCCATTGACGAGCTGCTAGATGATCTGCCCGCAGACTGAGACTAGGCGTCATGGAGTTGGCAAGTGATCAACAGATATTGCCCTTGTAGTTGCAGGAAGAGATTTCTTCAGAGATTTTCTTCTCTAGTGCAGAGGCGAGATGTTCAGGAGTTTTGTCCAGGAACAACTTGTATTTATTACTAGTTGATTAGCTGATTGAATGTAATTAAGCATATGCGGAACATGTGATTTATTAGTTGAGGTATTTGTTGATTAGTTGAATTCAATGTAAGTAACATTATTGTAAGTAATATCACTATTCAATGAATATATAATCCTTATTCAATTCATTGCTTTGTCAAACTTTGGGTGGTGTATATTCAATAAAGTTGTTTCTTCCACATTTCATGATGTGGAAAGACAGAACAGAACAGAACAGAGTACAACATTGTGCTGTTTGAAATGAAAACAAGTATCTTCATCCTTCAGGTTTAATCAGCATTGGTATAATCCTTCAAGAATGGACAGCAGGCTCCAAAAACATCATTTTCAGATTTAACATGAGCAATGCTTATGACCATGCACCATTGTTACTGAATTATTGACTGAAAGTGATAACATGTAACAGCTCATCATCAGTTCATCACTCAACACAAAAGATTTTTTACCACAGTGGATGACACATGATATAAGCTCAGAGAACATAGAACAGCCATTTCAGATAACATGAGTGCCACTGGCACCCTGTCACTTTTCTTGCATCAATTTACAGAACATGCTAGCAGCTGCAAAACAGCGCTGCAGCTCCCTAATTCATGTCAAGTACCAGGATGTATACTTACAATTACATCTTACATTACATGAAAATGCATCCTGGCCCGAAGCTACCTGTCTGTGAGCGGTTGATCTTCATCACCAGGGATTGGAAAGTCAACATTAATCCAGCTCCTCATCAACCGCCAAACCGCGATTGTAAAATTACAGGCCACGAACAGGTGGTGGCAGTCCTCATTATCTCGCTGGCAGAGTGGACAGACTTCATCGTGGGGCCAGTTTCTCTTCGCCAGATTGTCTGCCGTTAGGCATCTTCCTTTCAGGGCTAGTCACATGAAAAAACAGACTCTCAATGGTGCTCTGGAGTCTGGAGTGCCTCAGCATCTCTCCATAAGGGCAGTCCTCTTTGGCCATGAAGAAAAGATCATATGCCGAGGCAGCCGAGAATTGCCCTATCTCCAGTCAGTTTCAATCTGATTGCATCTGCATTAGGCTGTAGAGCCACATCATGAACCTCGTCCCAAAGCTGAAAGAAGTCACCCAAGGCTTCATTGAACAAGGAACCCTGCAAATCTCGCACCCATCTATGATTAACCATGGCCTGGGCGACCGACAACCTGGAGTGTCCTACATAGGAGTACAGGATAGGCCACCTCCAGGCGAAGCAACCATTTCCCGTCCAATTTGTCGTCCAGTATCTGTTATCAGCTCCATCACCGATGATATATTCAGCCACTGATCTGAAAATGCCATCTACATCATCTCCCATCCGATATGCCACCATGGTCCAGGGCCTCTCCTTCTGTGCTCAACCGATTAACAGTATGATTCCTTTGAAACTGATTAACTGCAATCTAAAGCGAGCAGCAAAATACTACACTGCCACAATTTTCTAAAAACTCAGTTGGGTTATTGTCTACAAGCCAACTCCAGCAAGATGTGTCACCTCCACTTACGCAAACGGGTCATATATGTCCTAGAGTTTCGACGAGCCTAGCCAGCAGTTGTTTTACATTGTACTGGGGTACTCTCCAGTCCAGCCTTGTTTCTCTACTCTCTACTATCTTGCCAGCAGCACTTGTGCCGAGTGACTTACACCAAGTTTGATATGAACATCTTCTGCAAACTGAAGTACTATCTACAGAATACAATTAAAGAAACATTAAAGCAGATTGATGGTAACAATGTAAATTAAAAAAAAATATTAGTCTCTGAACAAACTGAGCATCTTAGGCAGAAGAAGCCATACCCTCAAAATTCAATTCACTGATAAAAATGAGGTTAACCTTCATGGGATGGCCATGTAATTCATCTTGCTCACTTGTGGATCATGGAGGATGAGACTACAATCCATTTAGCCAAAAAGTGTAAATTCTTCATTCATACATGGAAAATTGGTTGCTCATGATTTGGCCTTGATGGATAGATTCAACTGGCACAATCTGTCCAAAAAAGAAATGGCATTATACACTGGGAGGGGGGCAATCCAAGGAGATAGAAGACTAATCCATGGATACCTATAATTATGTCCTGATAAAATGTATCTAAGAAAATGAATCATAACTAGTTCTAGCAATTTTATTACTGTTAGTTGTGGCATCCATTTCATCCAAATTGTAACTGAGAACCTCTATGAGTGCTTCTTTCTATTCTTCTTAATTGAATAAGCAGAAATTCTTGACTGTAAATTTTATCTTTGGAGAAGATTACAGCCATGGTTTCCAAAATGATAAGTTGTTCAGTACTAACAGGCATCAGCAGAGTTAATTAATATTGAAGTAATTTGAACATCACCAAATTCAAGTATTCAACAGAGAGAAGAGGATCATGTATGAGATAATACTGAAGTCAACATGAGTAGTGCACAATCTAGGAAGGTAAGGTCTTCCCATGGTAAACTGAGATGGAAGGGAAGCTAACAGCCAGAAAGCTCCAGGATATTGGGGTCGGATTGCTCAACAAGCCATCGGAGACCTTGTAGAGGCCTGTGCCACTGGAGACCTGCTTCCAGTCAGTGCTGGCTCCTGGATCATATATGCAGAGCGGTTATACATATAATTCCAGCAGTGGCTGTACATCGTACTGGGTTACTCACCCTCCAATGTACCTCGCGCCCCTTGTTAGCATCATTTGTGCCAAGTGACTTCGACCAAGTTTAATCTTTTCATCTTTTGCAAAATGAAGTACTACCTAGAAATCTAAAATTAAACAAACATGAAAGCAAAGTTATCTGAAGAAACTAAACATCACATGCAGAAGATGCCCCACCCCATTAGTGATTAGTCCAATTCAATGATAAAACTGAGGCACTACATTTATGGTTTTCCAACATCGTCAGGACCTGCACCAATTAGCATCAGCAGATTCGTTAGACTCGTTAAAGTGAGGCCAAATTCAGCAGAGAGAAAAAGATCACGCATGGAGGAACTAGTGCACAATCGAGCAAGGCCTCCATGGTAATAAATAGGGGAGGTTACCTTGCTGTGACGCCGGGGTTGGGGGGCATTGCTCGTTCGCCCACGGGTTCCGCCATGGCTGTTCGAGCTCCAATTTCTCGGTCACAAATAGATCGAAGCGCTTGTCGCCCGAGACCTTGGAGACGACTGCGGCAATGGAGATCCGCTTCCAGGCCGTGCCCCCCCACGACGGCGACAAAGCACACCATTCCCGCCGCCGATATGTCGATGTGCCGCGGGTCGTGGCTCCTCGCCGGACCATGCTGGAGCCCTCCCAGCGACTCAGGGAGATCGGAGATGGAGTGGTGCGGCGGACGACGGCGCGGCGGCCACTGGCCGGTGGGGAGTAGTCCAAACAGAGAACAGACAGGCTGAGATTCTGTTTATGTGGGCTCGGCACGATTTGATTAGGAGAAAGTCCATTATTAGTCATTTAACTATAAAAAAACGTCCAAATATCCTCTGAACTTTAAATGAAAGCACATTCAGTATTCTAATGTTTCTTAAGGAAACATAGTACAAACATAGATACTCACAACACACGTACAATTACCCTTATAAATGTACACACATCATACCCCTTACGAGTATCTCCGAAAAACTATTAGGCCGACATATTGTCTCAAATCTAGATCCTGAATCTGGGTGGGCTAGGAACCAGAAGAAACAGTATACTAAATTTTAAAACCAGACACCCTAAACTTTATAATACCATTCATATGACCCCTAAAATGGTTTTTTATCTAATTTGTAAAACGTTAAATTATTAGACATATATGTTAAAAATCTTCACTTAAATACTTTTTTTTACCCTATGTTTGCTCTCACTTGAAAACGAATACCAACTAGTATGATATTTTTATGGAGCATAAATTAAGAACTAAAGATTGATGATATATATATATATATATATATATATATATATATATGTTATATTCTTTATTCAAAAACTGTCTGTTTAAGCATCAAAATATGCAAAACCACCGTCCAAAACCATCTTATGATGTAATTTAAACGGTATTGTAAAGTTCATAGGGTTGGGGATTATAAGTCTATTTAAAAGTAATATAAATAATAGAGAAAAATACAAATTACTCCTGAACAATTGCGACAGTATGAATTACCCCACCGAACCACAAAACCAGATATATCACACCCTCAACTATTAATACTGGACATATAACCCCCCTCAACATTGTTTTTGACCGGTTTTGACTTCAACTTGTACACGTGGCGCCAACGTGGCAATCCAGTTAGAAAATAAATAAATAACCCCTGGGCCCACCTGTCATAACCCTTTATCAACCCAACCCCCCCTCTCTCTCGCCGTCTCGCACACACGCTAGGACGACCGGCTGCGGAGGAGGCGCACACGCTCGGGCGGCCGGCGGCAGAGGCGGAGCTCGCCCGGGAGTCCGGCGGCGGAGGCGGAGATTGCCCAAGTGGTGGGCTGCTGAGGTGGAACTCGCCCGGGCGGCCGGTGGCGGAGGCGGAGGTGAGTGGTGGCGGAGGCGGTGGTGAGCAGTGGCGGTGTTGGTGCTGCGCACGATAGAGTACTCACGCTCTGAGGAAGCTGGAGGCCCTCCTCGCCGCGTCCACCGCCTGCCCTTCCCACCGCGCCCACCAGCCACCCTCCCCCGCCGAGACCTTGTCTGTCCAGACCACCGCCGACGTCGCCGCCTTCTCTGCCTGGACTGCTGCCGCTGCCTTCTCCGCCCCGACCACTGTCGCTGCACTGCAGGAAAGGGGAGGGAGTCGGAACAGAAGGAAAGGGGAAAGGGATGAGCGGCGGTCATCGGCACTCCTATGCAGCTCCATCTCGTGCATCGCCGTCGTGGACACGGCCATCGACACCCTCGCCACTTCGCTGCCCTCCTCACCCACCACGACGCCCTCAGCCTCCAGTGCGACTCCCTCAGCGGCGACGCCGTGCTCCCGTCGCGCCAGTCGCCCGCTCTCCGCCACGCCCGCCACCCGCCGCGCCCATCTCCGGCCACCTAGTCGTCGCTCCCAGCGACATCTGAAAGAGACAGACGTTGAGAGGAAGGGAAAGGGGAAAGAGAGAGGTGGGTCCCACCATGTTTTATTTGTTTTGGCTGACAAGTGGGTCCCATATCTTTTTTATTTGTTTTGCTGACTAGAGTGCCATGTATGCATCCACGTAGGATCAAAACTGCCCTGGATCGACCTAGGGGGTAATTCATCCGGTTTGTAAAGTTTAGGGTTAAAAATAAATGGTATTGGAGTTTAGGGGGGTAACTCAAACGACCGCGATTTTTCAGGGGGCAATTCATACTTTTTCCTAAATAATAACATCATATAGCCATACCATATCCATCTCAAATCACAGGTAGCACCAATTAACGAATATTTGAGCCCTACGTGGGTGCGGCTAGAGACACAATGGCAGATCTGGTATGTTTGAGGGAGATTTAGAACGAACGGTGTGTACACCCTTCCTAACCCTTGTGATTCAACCTTAAAATGCTCGGTTGCTTTAGAGTCTTCTCGCTTCATATCACCGTACCAAACGCCCACCTTGTTGGCTGCCGTCATACCTTACTCGCTTACAAGAGAGATCGACAAGAGCTCTAAGATTCGACCACCAAATCAATCTTCTATGGGGAGGAGGGGGGGAGAGTGAAGATGCACTTAAACCCCTAGTGGGTTTTGGTGATTAATGACAAGGTGGTTAAAGGGGACTAACGTGTTTATCAAGTTTATTCACAGGAGTTTAGTCCCAAAGCAAGTTGTGATGGCTAAGAATGCAAGGAGACCCCCCAATTTGAATGTTCCTAAGTGCGAAAAACATCGAAGGTGATTAGACTAGGTTTTTCTCTTTCGAAATTGAGTTTAGGAAAAACAGTACTATTAAGAGGGGTTTCAAGTGTGGTTCCAGGGTATACAAAGTGCTCTTAGTCATATCCATGAGTCTAAAGGTTTTTGGAACTTTCTTTTTTTTTCTTGGAAATGATTTTCCTCGGGACAGAGAGGGCTACTCGGAGGTTCTGGCCGGAACTTCCGGGCACCGAAGTTTAGCTAGATTTTTCCTAAGTGCTAACCGGAAGTTCCTGGCACTTTTGCCCGGAACCTCCTGGCAGGTTTCCAGTTCAATCTTGTGAGTAACGGCTAGATGACGTCACCTAGCCGTTATATATATGGATTTCGTCCCCAGGTCACCCTTTGGCCATTCCACTTCAGTTCTTTCATGTTCTAGGGTTTTCTAGCCACTCCCAAGCTTCCTTTGCTTCCTCCACTCAAATCTATAGCCTATCTTGTGAGATTGAGAGATTAGATTAGAGTGTAGGAGTGTTTTGGAGATGGCTTGAAGATTATGTTTGTTTGAGCACTTTGGATAACTTGTGGGCTGTCACTTGGGCTTATTACTCTTGGAGATCTTCTTCTAGATGGTTAGGTGTTGCCCGTGAGCTTCCAAAGATCTTGTGGATGTCCCGGGAAAGTTTGTGAAGGATTTCCTCACCTTCGCAAGGAAACGAGGTAAGTGAGTAAAGATTCTTGTGCTGAGTTTTCAGAGGTTGTCCTAGGTAGAGCAACTTACACTTGTGGTCTTTTCTAGAAGGAATTGTGAGTTGGATCTTGGTGGTCACTCAATTCTAGAAAATGACCTAGAAGTGTTGAGTTGAAGGCTGTGGACTTCTTCTGGGATCTTTGCATAAGTGAGGCGAGGGGTTAATCGAGACCCGGCTCTTTGAGCACCTCTACGGAGAGTAGGATCCGTGTGATCCGAACTTCGGGAAAAAATCGCCTTTGTCTCTCTCGTGCATGATCTGTGTTTGAATCTGCTGGTATCTTGTGATTTACATCTTGTGCAACCTTGTGCCTGATTGTCTATAGCTAGGACCTGTTTTGCTTCCCCAAATTTTGATTTTCTCTGTTGCCCGAAAGTTCCTGGCTCAAGAACTCCGGAAGTTCCGGGCTGCTCATCTCTGCCAGGAAGTTCCGGTGTTCTTCACCAGGAGGTTCCGGGCACTGTTAATTTAACCGCTGCGATTGTTGAGAAAATTTCAGGAAAGCCTATTCACCCCCCCTCTAGGCTACATCTCTACGCGTTCAATTGGTATCAAAGCAAGGTGCTCTTGATTCAAGCTTCACCGCTTTGAGCGATCCACGATGTTGGACTTAGGGGGAAAGGACGGGGAAATTGGAAATGAAGATGGAGCGAGCAGCAAGGGAACTCCATCTCCCAAGGGAGCCACTATACCTTTTGATTACAGGAAACTTACCATTCCCTCTCACAACTTTGTCTCCGTACCTTCCGGGCGTGCTCCTCAATTTGATGGGACACATTACGCCGCTTGGAAGCACAAGATGAAGTTGCATCTAATCTCTTTGCATCCAAGTATTTGGAAAGTTGTGTGTACAGGTATTGACGTACCTCATGAGGACATGGAGCTCACTTCGGAGAAAGAACAACTCATCCACCGCAATGCTCAAGCTTCCAATGCAATTCTCTCCGCCTTGAGTCCGGAGGAATTCGACAAGGTTGATGGACTAGAGGAGGCCAAGGAGATATGAGATACTTTGCAATTGGCTCATGAGGGATCACCCGCCGTTCGTGAGGCAAAGATTGAATTATTGGAAGGAAGGCTAGGAAGATTTGTGATGGATGACAACGAGACACCACAAGAGATGTATGATAGGATGATGATCCTTGTCAACAAGATTAAAGGACTTGGGAGTGAGGACATGACAAATCACTTTGTTGTCAAGAGACTTCTCCGTGCTTTTGGTCCAAGAAATCCCACTCTTGTTTCAATGATACAGGAAAGGAAAGACTTCAAGAGGCTCACCCCAAGTGACATTCTTGGAAGAATTGTGTCTCATAAGATGCAAGAAGAGGAAGCTCGTGAAGTGAGACAAATGGTGAAGAATGCCGCCATGATCAAAAATCAAGAAGTTGCTTTGAAGGCAAAACAAGAAGAAGAGTCAAGTGGTGAAGAAAGTGAAGATGAAGAAATGGCTTTTATTGTCAAGAGATTCAAGCACTTTCTTCGCAAGAGTGGCTATGGCAAAGGGAGGAAGGTTGATGACAAGGGAAAGAGGCAATCAAAGAGAGCGTGCTTCAATTGTGGCGAATTTGGCCATTTCATTGCCGATTGTCCCAAGTCAAATGAAGCTAAGGCTAAGGGAGGCAAGAAGAAGCTGGAACGTGCTCATGTGGCGGAGGCACACATGGCGGAAGTGTGGTACTCCGGAGATGAAGAAGATCCCGAAGTCAAGCCCAAGCCCAAGTCAAAAGACAAGGTTGAAGGAGAAGGTGGTGTTGCTACTGTCACCTTCAAGTCATCCTCTTCAAGCAAGGAGCGTCTCTTCAACAACTTGAGTGATGACGACGACGACTCCTACCACTACTCTTGCTTCATGGCCCAAGGCCGCAAGGTGATGA